TCTGAGCGCGAAAGCCAACCAGGGTGAGTGCCATCTCAGGCAAGTAACCCTGGTTCTTGATGACCGTTCCTCTCCAGTCACATGTGGCAGAGTTGGAGGGAAGAGAGGCATTCTGAGTGGTTTGGCCAACCCCATTGTTTGTCCGCGGAAATGTCAATTAGCAAAACTAGTATAGACGTGAGTGTCAAGATTGACTACAGTGCTCAATTGCTGTGACGTCTGTCAGCAAAGAAGAATACCAAAATGACAATTCATGCAAGTGTAAAAAAGTATTAAGGTTCAGGCGAGGCTCGAACTCGCGGCCTTCTGCGTGTGAAGCAGACGTGATAACCACTACACCACTGAACCTCAGCTACCACAAGCAGGCGTATTTGACAAGACCTATACCTGCCGCTGACACTGACGCAGCACGGCAAGCTGAGGATATGCTGAGGGCCCACGTACATGTCTAAAAGGAGAGAAGTAAGATAGAATTGATCTGTAACAAGCCCGCTTCACCTGTGGTGGGTTACAAGCTGAGAAAGAGGGATGTGCTTATTGCCCAAAAAATAATGCAACCCTTCAAAAAACAAAAACATAAGGTTCCGGCGAGGCTCGAACTCGCGGCCTTCTGCGTGTTAAGCAGACGTGATAACCACTACACCACGGAACCACATGCACACAATAGGAGAAACTAGCTAAATCTCTTCCAGGTGATATTGCTTGAGCGTATTCTTTTTTGGCACTGACTTTCCTTTTATTGGTTTGAACATAACATATCCAAAACACAACTTTGCACAATAGAAACATGAGTCGAAGCTTATTTGATCACAAATTGGGAGGCTAATTAAGGTGTAATGTTGTGCAATCACACAAAGTTTCCGTCTGCTTCTCCCAGCTTGGAAGTTAACACTGGAGCAGTCACAATCACAGTCACGGTCAATGGGAGATAACCACCAATACGTTGTAATCACAAAACAATTTACATCGACAAAACACCTGATCAGTTGACGTTGTCTGTCCTCTGTATGTTTTTACAGCTAATCACAAACGTGGAATGAATTCAAAGCGCGCACAGGTGGCCCTGTCTGTGACAGAATAACGTGGTGAAGATTTTTGCAACGATACGGGCTATTGCATACCACACTGGCGCGCTTTTTGAAAAGAAGTAGGTACAACGTCCGCCGTGGAGTAGTTAAGATCATACTTTTAGGGATCATTTCTATAGTATGCATCGCCATGACTTCAGGTAAAACTGACAGTCTACCAAACCACGAGGACGATAGACAGCCTCTCTTTCTGAGCGCGAAGCCAACCAGGGTGAGTGCCATCTCAGGCAAGTAACCCTGGTTCTTGATGACCGTTCCTCTCCAGTCACATGTGGCAGAGTTGGAGGGAAGAGAGGCATTCTGAGTGGTTTGGCCAACCCCATTGTTTGTCCGCGGAAATGTCAATTAGCAAAACTAGTATAGACGTGAGTGTCAAGATTGACTACAGTGCTCAATTGCTGTGACGTCTGTCAGCAAAGAAGAATACCAAAATGACAATTCATGCAAGTGTAAAAAAAGTATTAAGGTTCAGGCGAGGCTCGAACTCGCGGCCTTCTGCGTGTGAAGCAGACGTGATAACCACTACACCACTGAACCTCAGCTACGACAAGCAGGCGTATTTGACAAGACCTATACCTGCCGCTGACACTGACGCAGCACGGCAAGCTGAGGATATGCTGAGGGCCCACGTACATGTCTAAAAGGAGAGAAGTAAGATAGAATTGATCTGTAACAAGCCCGCTTCACCTGTGGTGGGTTACAAGCTGAGAAAGAGGGATGTGCTTATTGCCCAAAAAATAATGCAACCCTTCAAAAACAAAACATAAGGTTCCGGCGAGGCTCGAACTCGCGGCCTTCTGCGTGTTAAGCAGACGTGATAACCACTACACCACGGAACCACATGCACACAATAGGAGAAACTAGCTAAATCTCTTCCAGGTGATATTGCTTGAGCGTATTCTTTTTTGGCACTGACTTTCCTTTTATTGGTTTGAACATAACATATCCAAAACACAACTTTGCACAATAGAAACATGAGTCGAAGCTTATTTGATCACAAATTGGGAGGCTAATTAAGGTGTAATGTTGTGCAATCACACAAAGTTTCCGTCTGCTTCTCCCAGCTTGGAAGTTAACACTGGAGCAGTCACAATCACAGTCACGGTCAATGGGAGATAACCACCAATACGTTGTAATCACAAAACAATTTACATCGACAAAACACCTGATCAGTTGACGTTGTCTGTCCTCTGTATGTTTTTACAGCTAATCACAAACGTGGAATGAATTCAAAGCGCGCACAGGTGGCCCTGTCTGTGACAGAATAACGTGGTGAAGATTTTGGCAAACGTTTACCAACAACGATACGGGCTATTGCATACCACACTGGCGCGCTTTTTGAAAAGAAGTAGGTACAACGTCCGCCGTGGAGTAGTTAAGATCATACTTTTAGGGATCATTTCTATAGTATGCATCGCCATGACTTCAGGTAAAACTGACAGTCTACCAAACCACGAGGACGATAGACAGGCTCTTTCTGAGCGCGAAGCCAACCAGGGTGAGTGCCATCTCAGGCAAGTAACCCTGGTTCTTGATGACCGTTCCTCTCAGTCACATGTGGCAGAGTTGGAGGGAAGAGAGGCATTCTGAGTGGTTTGGCCAACCCCATTGTTTGTCCGCGGAAATGTCAATTAGCAAAACTAGTATAGACGTGAGTGTCAAGATTGACTACAGTGCTCAATTGCTGTGACGTCTGTCAGCAAAGAAGAATACCAAAATGACAATTCATGCAAGTGTAAAAAAGTATTAAGGTTCAGGCGAGGCTCGAACTCGCGGCCTTCTGCGTGTGAAGCAGACGTGATAACCACTACACCACTGAACCTCAGCTACCACAAGCAGGCGTATTTGACAAGACCTATACCTGCCGCTGACACTGACGCAGCACGGCAAGCTGAGGATATGCTGAGGGCCCACGTACATGTCTAAAAGGAGAGAAGTAAGATAGAATTGATCTGTAACAAGCCCGCTTCACCTGTGGTGGGTTACAAGCTGAGAAAGAGGGATGTGCTTATTGCCCAAAAATAAATGCAACCCTTCAAAAACAAAACATAAGGTTCCGGCGAGGCTCGAACTCGCGGCCTTCTGCGTGTTAAGCAGACGTGATAACCACTACACCACGGAACCACATGCACACAATAGGAGAAACTAGCTAAATCTCTTCCAGGTGATATTGCTTGAGCGTATTCTTTTTTGGCACTGACTTTCCTTTTATTGGTTTGAACATAACATATCCAAAACACAACTTTGCACAATAGAAACATGAGTCGAAGCTTATTTGATCACAAATTGGGAGGCTAATTAAGGTGTAATGTTGTGCAATCACACAAAGTTTCCGTCTGCTTCTCCCAGCTTGGAAGTTAACACTGGAGCAGTCACAATCACAGTCACGGTCAATGGGAGATAACCACCAATACGTTGTAATCACAAAACAATTTACATCGACAAAACACCTGATCAGTTGACGTTGTCTGTCCTCTGTATGTTTTTACAGCTAATCACAAACGTGGAATGAATTCAAAGCGCGCACAGGTGGCCCTGTCTGTGACAGAATAACGTGGTGAAGATTTTTGCAACGATACGGGCTATTGCATACCACACTGGCGCGCTTTTTGAAAAGAAGTAGGTACAACGTCCGCCGTGGAGTAGTTAAGATCATACTTTTAGGGATCATTTCTATAGTATGCATCGCCATGACTTCAGGTAAAACTGACAGTCTACCAAACCACGAGGACGATAGACAGCCTCTTTCTGAGCGCGAAGCCAACCAGGGTGAGTGCCATCTCAGGCAAGTAACCCTGGTTCTTGATGACCGTTCCTCTCAGTCACATGTGGCAGAGTTGGAGGAAGAGAGGCATTCTGAGTGGTTTGGCCAACCCCATTGTTTGTCCGCGGAAATGTCAATTAGCAAAACTAGTATAGACGTGGAGTGTCAAGATTGACTACAGTGCTCAATTGCTGTGACGTCTGTCAGCAAAGAAGAATACCAAAATGACAATTCATGCAAGTGTAAAAGTATTAAGGTTCAGGCGAGGCTCGAACTCGCGGCCTTCTGCGTGTGAAGCAGACGTGATAACCACTACACCACTGAACCTCAGCTACCACAAGCAGGCGTATTTGACAAGACCTATACCTGCCGCTGACACTGACGCAGCACGGCAAGCTGAGGATATGCTGAGGGCCCACGTACATGTCTAAAAGGAGAGAAGTAAGATAGAATTGATCTGTAGCAAGCCCGCTTCACCTGTGGTGGGTTACAAGCTGAGAAAGAGGGATGTGCTTATTGCACAAAAATAATGCAACCCTTCAAAAAACATAAGGTTCCGGCGAGGCTCGAACTCGCGGCCTTCTGCGTGTTAAGCAGACGTGAAAACCACTACACCACGGAACCACATGCACACAATAGGAGAAACTAGCTAAATCTCTTCCAGGTGATATTGCTTGAGCGTATTCTTTTTTGGCACTGACTTTCCTTTTATTGGTTTGAACATAACATATCCAAAACACAACTTTGCACAATAGAAACATGAGTCGAAGCTTATTTGATCACAAATTGGGAGGCTAATTAAGGTGTAATGTTGTGCAATCACACAAAGTTTCCGTCTGCTTCTCCCAGCTTGGAAGTTAACACTGGAGCAGTCACAATCACAGTCACGGTCAATGGGAGATAACCACCAATACGTTGTAATCACAAAACAATTTACATCGACAAAACACCTGATCAGTTGACGTTGTCTGTCCTCTGTATGTTTTTACAGCTAATCACAAACGTGGAATGAATTCAAAGCGCGCACAGGTGGCCCTGTCTGTGACAGAATAACGTGGTGAAGATTTTTGCAACGATACGGGCTATTGCATACCACACTGGCGCGCTTTTTGAAAAGAAGTAGGTACAACGTCCGCCGTGGAGTAGTTAAGATCATACTTTTAGGGATCATTTCTATAGTATGCATCGCCATGACTTCAGGTAAAACTGACAGTCTACCAAACCACGAGGACGATAGACAGCCTCTCTTTCTGAGCGCGAAGCCAACCAGGGTGAGTGCCATCTCAGGCAAGTAACCCTGGTTCTTGATGACCGTCATATAGGAGTGATATAAAACATGGATGTTTTATTAGATATTCTGAATGGAGCAACACAGACATTCAAAACGTTTATTTCTTGAAAGAAAAACACAGTACACTATTAGTTTTGATAACACATTTAAACACCTTTGAATCGAGTGATATCATAAATTCCAATTTGAAAGAAACATTACAATTGAACAAACCGGCCTAAAAGAGTAAAACTACTTTTGGAAATATCAAATGATAAGCACAATTCAGAAATAACTCTACACTGCAAAAGAAACAAAAACAAGAAGAAAACCTAATGTTCTCTGGCTCAAGCCAGATGTTTATCATTATCAAAATATATTTATTTCCAGATGTTAATTTATTGTTCAAATTTTAATAGCACAGCAAGAGAAGAAGCGTAGTAGTTCGTTCATAGTCCAACATAAAACTGAAAATTGAAATATGACATAGCTAAATACAATGCATCATCAATGATAAGTCGAGGGAGTATGGTGTCCTGCTACCACAATGAAGCCTTGTTCACAAGAAATATCATTGTAATTGCAAACAAACTTTTCAGACCCAACGAAAAGGTAAAAATCTTCACTGAAACGTCGCTCTATGCATTAAAAAGTTATCCATAAAGTTGTATGCTTCATAAAAAATAGAAAGGTAACGAAAGTTGTATTACATACACAGAGCATAACAGATATCTAAACATAGATATAGTTTGATATTTTGATGGATTTCATTGACTTATGTGAATATATGTGAAAATATACTCACAGAAAACTGATAATTTCTTCTCACTAATATTCATATAACGTGTATGTATAGTAGATGCCACAAAAACACTTGAATCTCGAAAAAACACTACTACTGTACTATAGTCCTTTCTATGCTATCTGCAATACATGTAACAATATATTTGTTTTTATGAAAGAAGCTGAAGCTGAATGAAAGAAGATTCGAGCCTTATACATTTTTTTAACTGAAGCCCTCTTTTATGATGCTCTGTAAAACAAAACACAACCCTGGAAAAAATACAGTAGGTATATCTGCTTAGTCAAATTATTTGGGAATTTAATAAAAGCATGAAAAATGCACAATGCATTTAAAGAATGTGCTTCCTTTGATGAAGCAGGATTTAGATGCCATACCAACGAGTGTAGGTATGCTCATAACATATTCCAAGGCAGCAGGTCAGGTTTGAAGGCTGATAGTAACAGTATCTGTGTTTCCTGAAAATTAAATGTACATTATCATTGTAAATCCATGAAACAAATAACTGAACAAAAAACACCCACTGCGTTACTGAATCATGATGCCGAACGTTTCACATTAATTGTTCATTTATTTCATTAAACGTGATGATTTAAAAAATGGGGTGTGATATATAGTTGTCTGCAAGTTGCGTAACAATTTGTGCATGTATCCTATAGATAAGGACTAAGATACAGATTATGATTTATGGTTAGTCAGTACACACCCATACTCCCAGGTTTCACCAAGTAGTAAACGTTTAAAATCTGCATGATTTATACAAATCTTCCAACATCAAGCTGAGACATAATGATACAACTGAAATGCTGTTCAAAGTGGCATTACACCAACCCACTCAATCACGCTTCACAAAACGCCTGCTAAAGATGTTGTCTCATTTACCGTTTTGATTTATGTATAACTTGTGAGTGGTTACATGTTCTGTAGTTTATCACCCATGAAGGTTTAACTTTCGAGGTAGAGAAATATAAACAGACATACGAAACGGTGCACTGATAGTATCAGATGCGACATATGGCTGTACACATTCCTCACTCATTCTGTAATCATTTATCATAGTGTTACTGTTTTGTTGACAAAGCATCACATGAAACTCCGGATATCACCTGTCTATAAAACACAAATGGACATACAAGATGCTAGCAGCCGATGAGTATGACACAAGAGTTCCTATTCTGTGTCCTGCATTGTTCCACTTACATTGTTAACACATGCCGTCTACATGACCGGTTGAGTCTTGTTTGACATCGGAAACTGCACTGAGGGCACACGCTACACATTTGAGTGGACTTCCGCGAATACATGGTTGAAACTGCATTATCTGAAAAACAAAAGCAAACAATCCTGAACAAACACATTACCACATGGTGTACACTTGCAGCTGTTGTAATTCCTAATAATTACTTTTGTAGCAAAATATAATACACTGCTGTCTTTAACACGTGATATTTCCAGTCTCGTTACTTAACAGGTCTAAGAATGTGAGCAATTCAGAATATGTAATACACTTGTAAATATAAGAAACTGTTTGGTTGCATCTTTACATATTTGTTGGCAAAATTCTTTTCCCTCGCCCTGAATGTCAATGCTGAAAACAGTAAAACTGTTAACAAACATGTACCTGGTTCATAGTATTCTTGAAGTGTCACTGTGCTAGGTCGTGTGTCAATTACAACATCAACCATGGTCATCACAGTGTTGATACATCCCTCGCTATCTGAAATCTGGGAACACACATATACATCAAACCACTGTGCAACAACCCACACCAACAGTCATGGTAGCACATATGGACAAAATGTCAAATCTTGTAATCTATGTAATTTATCATTTTAACTTCATTATAAATAAATATCCAATAAAATAAATGTAATAGTATGTTCTCCTGTATGTGCAGTGGATATACTGCTGTCTTGACACAATCTGCTTCACCGTTAAGACATTGACATGAATGCATCTTAAAATTCGATGTACTTTGATTGTGCTTAGGATATATAAGTACTTTTGCATGCCAGGGAAATGGCAATGCATACCATGGTATACTCACGTCATTGAAGTAAAGTGTGAGAATATTTTCATTTCTCTCTGAGCGTGAGAAGACTGCAGTATGTGTCCTCTCATTCAGGTCCGGATCAAAGCCAGTGGGTACTCCAATGTTGAGAATACTCATTCCGCTACTTCCCTCCTCCAGATGGCGGAAACATGTCTTCAACACAAATTGCCTGTCTGTCTGTTCAAGGACTTCTACGCGTAATTCAAACTTGGGATTAATAGAAGGTTGGTTCTCATTATACTGTTTAAGCACCTGCAAAACAATGCATAGCATACTATTAGAAAGCCATAGTCCAAACAGACAGACAGACATTTTATTTAGTATAACGTCAAAGGGCCCATAACCCAAATCAATTACAAAGTTTATGTATACATATATTATTGCAAGGATATTAAACATGAACAAAAGCTAATTCAACATGTTCAACAGAATGAAGTCACTCATTTGAAAGACATACCTAAAAATATATATGAACTGTGCACTCAACAATATTTGGTTTACAAAGTATGGAATGAATGGAAATGAAGGAATGGCTTGGGTATAACCACGCTTGGGTATAACCATTTCAGCACAGTGTCGCAGCTTGAGGCAGCAACAAGGCTCAAAGCAAAGCGTGATGTTTTAAGACTTTGGTGCAACCAACAAGCACATGTATAGGGTTTGAAACCTTAATGTGTTGAAACCAGGATCTTAACCCACATTCAGTTGATCCTGTCGCAGCAATTAGTGACCAGATGTCTTTAATTAACATGATGTTTAAACAAACACCACACTTTCAGAAACAAGCGTCAACAGTAATGACTGAAAATACAGTTTCTGATACACGCCTATTTTAATAGCATCACAGTTATGTCCTGATCAGCTTAACTTGGCTCAAAGCTTGAAGTGACAAAGGTTTTAAATCTGTATTCTAATTCAGCTTAGTATGTAACACGAGTTCTAATTGGTCAATGCAATAAATTTCCGACCGTATAATCAGCATATACGGTCGCAATTTGAAAACCGAAACACCAAAATCTTTGAATGTATCCCTACACTATTGGGGCATTGTCATTTGCAGAAGCCCTATGTCAATTAACCCCCCTATATCGCTAAAATGGATGGAATTTGTGTTAAAAAGACAAAACAGTATCATAAATTTAATTGTAAGTTCAAACGACTTATTCGCAACGGGCTGTTGACCCAACACTGATTTATGACGTCATTATGGAGTGTGACGTCACCTGCTGTGACCTCATTTGACAACAAAACTGATGATAGCCGCAAATTTAACGTTATATCGGTTCCGCTTGCGCGTCGCCGATATAGCCAAATTTGCGGCTATATAACCACCGGTATACGTCCCCAGTTCGGCAAACACAGTACAGTTATCCCCTAACTGTAGAACCTTACAACTGCAGACCTAGCATCCTAACTGGAACTATATCAGTAGATACTGTTCTGGAACAGTTACAGGTCCTGTGAAGTGGATACATAAATTGTATCGATGTGACTGGACACTTTTCATTTTGGATTGACACATATTCGTCTAACAACTGAATCAATATGACAACCCAAAACTAAGGAATATATGTGGTTGTGTGAATAAAGAAAAGAGGGATGTGACAAGGCTGTCCAACCTGTAGCACTGCGACCCCAGACCCTGAAGCAGTCACCGTCAGCACACCTGGTACATTGGCCATCTGAAAATATACAAAGAGCATCAAACACGAGGAGTAGCAACAAGCCATACAAAACGAAATTCTACATGACAAAGTAAAACTTCTAAGAAACACTTACTGGAATATCATCGGCTTGCAGCAAAAGAGCTGTGTTAGGATTGACATCAAAGTTCTTGGAATAACTTTGTATGTTGACAGACACATTGATTGATGTCTGTGGGGAATACACATCACCAGCAAACTTTGACAATGCTTCAAGGGCGGCAACCGTGTCCTGTAAACGTAATTTTGTGGTTTAAGAAATGCATTTTCTGGTATTTAGCATAATAACACTTGATAAGTTAAAGGAAATGAAAGTTCAGCTGGTACACATCCATGTCACTTTCGTGCTCACCTGTGTTGACATAAAGCCTCCCCTGTCATTCCTCTGGTTACTGATCCACCGCATAACTGGAAGTCCTTCTGTCACATTGTTTGTTAGAGAGTAGAGAAGTAGCACATATGATGTCATCTCTATGCTCTTTGCCTCAGTGTCATGGTACCATCGATAGTGAAAGTATCCTGTAGGCTTGGGCGGTGATGGGTCCTTCCAGTGTACAGAGCTTACTGGTATTTTAAAGAGATAAAATATGATGAAGAAGAGATTAAACAACTAATTCCATGATGTATGAACATGCCTTTATGGGTGTAATGAGACATTGCCCTCACTACAACTAAGGTAAGTAATGCAGATCAAAAGATCTGCTTTATGTATAAAAAAGCCTGTCTTACTTCTCTTGTGGTCGTGAAGTGGAGAAAGGTTTATCACAGCACTAATTACCGTCTCTGACAGCAGCGGCTTCAACGATGGACTGAGCTTCAGATGCCCTCTCACTACCCGCAAGAGCGAGAGCATAGGCCACAAGGATCTTGTCATAAGTTGAGTTCAGGGTGTCCAACCGTGACTCCAGATATTGAACTGCTTTACTAGCAGAGTCCAAGAGCTACAAATATTTGACATATAAACGAACATTGTACTAAATCGAAATGATTTTAAAGGAGAAATTAGTATAAATTATTATCCCCTAGTATTAGTATCCTTCCAAAACAGGCCAATCTGGATAACCAAGTGAAGAAGAAGACAATCAGGTAAATCTGACTAAAACTGTTCAGCGACAAACATCTTCTGTTGCATTTATGGTATATTATAAGAAAAACAACAGTTAAACACATATAAGAAAGTTCTAATATTATGTTTGGAGATTTGTCTTTTCCTCTAAACCCTCTCATTTTCATTTACTAATCTCTCATTTTTAAGGATAGTTTGTTTCAAAAGTAAAAAAAACCATGTTGCACTGAGATGAAAAGGAATCATATACCATTTTGTCTGTTAGTACTGATGCTGGTTCTCGTTGATCTGGTCGGCTGGCACGAGATAGGTCACCACCGAGAGTATCCAAAGGGACATCATTATTAGACGGCCACTGCACCTGCGCAGCCTGTGCTTCCTTGAGAGCAATGAGGACATATGCTGTGAGGCCAACACCCATCCCCGTACCACTCTGAAACCGAGGTGCATATTAACAATACATCACTGTGCTGTGAGAAGAAACACTCGCCTCTGTACCACTCTGAAACAAAGGTTGCACACTCATGGTATATTTGATATAAAGTGAGACCCACATGTCCCTTCACCACTCGGAAACCTGTGTGCACATTCACAATATTATACTGAGGCCAATACTTATAGTTTCACCAAGGGAGCACATTCATAATATAACTGCATGCAGTGACACTACAATCCTACTCTGAAACCAGGGGGTACTCTCATGCTATATATATCAGTTTGCTGGGAGGCCAGCAGTTCCCTGTATCACTCTGAAACTAGTGCATATTGTGAAACTAAACAGTGGACACAATAACAAACAAACGAAGGAACTGTTATTTATCTTCCACTCAACTGGACTGGTGTTTATACTACATGGTTCTGGAAGAGTGTACTGACCTGTCTTAGAGGAAAATATACAGCATCATAACACTGATTTGCAGCACAAAAGACTTAACTAACTCATGGCTATCTTCACAGTTCCCTTTTGTTATATGTGACCTATTTTCTAATGAAGGGATATGAAAATAATAAGCAGTGTATATACGCATCACACAACCTGCATTCTCTTATTGAAAATATGTCCCTCCTCCGGGAAGCTACCATCCTTGTCCTGCTGGTGGACTATCCATTGCAAGCCTTGGGACAAGACGTTGGTGTCTATAACATCAGGAATCAAAGGGTACGCCTGGGTGAAACACTTCAGTACAAACGCTGTCAGCCTGCAACATTGTAAACAATGGGTATTGGCAAAAATTTCGTATTGCGATATATTGTGATATATACATATTAGCTATTACACACACATAGATAGATATATACATTGAAAATGTTTACACAGCTTAAAGCATTTCTATATGAATATTTTGGAAATGTATCCTGTTCTTCAAACACATTAATGTTTGTTTTGAAATTGGTATGCACTTATAAAAATAACAGAAATGGATTAATGACATACCCTTTCAACTGTTTCGTCTGCTTAACTGTATCATATGATCTGATAAAATACAGTGAACATCCAAGGCAATATTGCATCAGACTTGCACATACATGTATACCTACCCACGACAGAGTATTTTGTACATTTACTCATTATTCGGATTATAACAATATGTTCAAAAATATATATGCTGAATTTCATATATACTCAACAAAAGTGTGAAACATGACACCAACATAATTGGTAATAATGTGAGGGGGTTGTTATTTTATGTTTCTCCTTCTGGCATGGCATCGCCAAGTAGACTGTCTGAGCATGGTCCAAGTGAAACAAATATTTTAATAAAGCATGAAAAACACATGTGAAACACAACAATCACGTCCACCAAGTCATGTAATCATCATAGCAATCGTGTGTGATGTCATATCAAGATGACATACAGATAAGGTTACTTCATTTCTGCAACATATTTGTTACGCCAACAGCTAACAGGTGTTCAGAAGTAGTGCATCGTCACAGACCATCAATAATTAACGTGTGTATCGCAGGTATCTAAGGTAGATGATCATGCATAATCCCTGTCCTGACGCAGTTCCATCGTGCTCAACATTTAATATGGGTCTGCCATTCATGCAGTTACATGTTCCTGGAGTGACATTTCAACATGACAAAGATATGCTTCATACTGCAGTTATGATGGGCAGTTTCTTTTGTAATGCCTGTATTGATTTCATCGACTGGTCTTCCACTGAAAATCCACTTTTTATTGTTTGTCTTGTTAACTGGATGTCGTATGCAGTACGATAAATAATGCACATACCTCCTTTGAGCGAATTAATTTAACAAGTGTCATATTATTAATTTGGCTGGGTATATTAAAAATACAACCATTCCACTTTGTTAACTTTCAACCTTTACTCAATTTTCATTGTTAATGACATATTTGTTGCTTTCCATCTGATACTGAAAATTGAAAAATGGTTGATTATTCTCTAGCCTCTTGTTAATTTCAACCCAAACTGCGCGTACGTCATGTCACGGCTTACAGAAAGTCAGCGTCTGCTCGCAGTGGGTATGCTGGAGACTGGAATGGCCTAAAATGAAGTAAGCGGCCAGATATTTTGGTGACCATCGAAACACGATCTCATCTCTATGGAGACGTTTTCAGCATAATGGGAACACAAAAGATTTGCCACCGACCGACCGTCCACGTGTGACGTCACGTCAGCAAGACAACCACAATCGGCTGACCCATCTGAGGAATCGATTTCATACTTCCCATTTGACTGCACGGACTATTCCTGGCTTACGTCCAAACAGTTCCAGGACTGTACAGAACCGACTGAGTCAGCACAATCAGTAGCCCCGACGGCCTGCAATACGTTCCAGTTTTGCTCCAACGTAACCGACCCGCACGTCCTGCACGGTGCAGACAGCATCTACAGTACAGGAGACACGATCTGTATTGCGTTTCGTTCACTGACAAGTCAAGATTTCACCTGGACAGCTCAGATGGCAGAGCAAGGGTACAGACGGCGAGGTGAACGGTATGCTGATGCGTGCGTTTTTCAACGTCGACAGTTTGGTGGCAGGTGGCGTTGAGATATGGAGAGCCATCACATTTCATGGTCGGACACAACTTGTCATTGTCAATTGCAACCTGACAGGTCTGCGATACACGGATGAGATCACTCGGCCTCATGTACAGCTCATTCATTCAAGGACAGAAACATAACTTCACGCGTCAGCAATGCCCGTCCACATGTCGCTTGTGTTGTTACAGATTTCCTGAGACAGCAAAATATTTCGGTACTCTTCTGGTCAGCTGTTTCTCCTGACCTGTCCTCTATCGAGCAAGCTTGGGATGAAATGAAGCGATGCTTTACGTCAGGCCCAGAATCAGCCATTGACGTTATCTGAATTGGGACAAGCATTGGTTCAGACTGGTTGGACACACACGATACTGAATTTGTGAACTGACTTTTGACATCACATCTCTTCAAGGGCGTGTCACGATGCCTAGTGTCAAATCATACAGATTTCGATATCATCCGGTCATTAAAGAAAATATCACAAATCATATTATTATCTTTTTGCATTAAAAATGGCATAACATCAAATAATGCACAGCTACTTTATTCCAGTATTATATACTAAGTCAAAAAAGAAACTTCACATTCTTTCTTCAGGGCACTATAAAAGAACAAGAGATGGTAAGATGGTTAAATTGTTATTATTTCATTGCTGAGATCTGTGTGATGTACTCGATACACTGACAGTGCCATAATCAGTTCCATTAGGCTACACCGCCGTTCCAAAACATGGGTATACAGAATGTCAAGTCACAAGAATAAAAATGCGAAATTCCTCAGTTCAATATCGTGTATGGCCGCCCCGCGCATTCACCACTGCCAAACACCGTCTCCTCATCGACTGCCTGATGCTTGTGAACACGTGGTTGGGGATTCTGCGCCATTGCTCTTCAAGGCAGCGCCAAGTTCCTGCAAATTCTGAGGTTGGTTCCTAAGACCACGAAGCCTTCTCCCAAGTGCATCCCAAACGTGCTCTATTGGATTAAGGTCAAGGGACCTCGATGGCCAGTCCATGACGTTGATTCCAGCGTTTTGAAGGAAATTTCGTGTCAACATCGCGGTATGCGGCCGAGCATTATCATGCTGGAACTGTAGACCTGGGCCATGAGCCGCCATGAAAGGAACGAGTTCAGGGGTGAGCAGCTGGTCGCGGTAATGTTCCAGCATGTCGCTTAAAGTGCCTATTAAGCACACAAAAGAGTTGCATTTACCTTACAGTATAAATGACCTCACCACGTTTAAGTTTATATATGACTATAAAAGTTTAGAGTGTTCCCATACTTTTTGTGTGTAGTATTTGTTGCTGTCAGTAACGAAAGTGCCACTTCTGTACGTTTACGATGAAATGCAACATACCACATACTACAGTTCCTGTTACCATAGCTGTAAGTGGCAGATTCTCCAAAGGTAGAGTAACATCCCTCTCTGTGCTTATAGCGCAATTCTCTTTGGTATCCTACACAAAGAAAAATAACATTCATTTGCAGGAAATGATTCTTTGTCACTCAGTTAGAGTTTAAGGGTCTACATTTATGCATCCACAAGTTATAAACGTACACACAGTATACGTACTACCACACATTTCAATTGTTAAACCATTTTCTTCATTTTAGTCAAATATATATTATGGGACAAATACACAAAATATGTCATCAAGACTACCAGGTTTTGGACTTCGATGTTTGTGGTATGTGTGGCTGTGCGTGTTGGATCGCTGACATTGTGTACAGACGATTTGGGGCCTCGCTCTGAGTATGGGTTTGAATCCCAGATGGGACTCAATCCCCAAAACACTTGAACTCGTATTTTCTGAGAATTTGTAATCCCAGTTACAACACTAAGTGACCTATATAATTCTAAATATTGACAAGATAACCAAGAGACTGATATTATCGGCTATGGCCCATGTTCACAGGCTTTCGGGAAGGTTAAAAGTTTACAAAATTTGCTGTTCATAAGAGTGTCATCATGTGTCACCTACAAGCAAGCACCTATGTTTCCATCGTATTCATTTAAGATAACTATATACGAAGAAAATGTAAAAATCATCATGTTTACGTCACCTTTTGTGTAGGCCACCGACTTTAGCAATCTTAACCCTGTCCAAAAGGTGACACGTACCTAGTTTCTCTGGCCATCAGTAAATCAGTACAAATCTCAAAGAAGATATCTAAATCATCCTTACAACCACAAAGAAAGACTGTATTGACAACATTGTTGAAACAAAAAATACTATACCCAGGAAAAGCAAACTACAAACCACAAGTATCCTAAATATCTTAGGTTCCTCTACATACATGTATTTAGACATATGCTAGTCAACCCTGAAACAGTTGGTTGATATTCCCTTATGTAGAATGATTATACAGTGGAGCAGAATCTTAATGAGCACAGCAAATCTCAATCGCTATAGATGTTATTAAGGCAACATTTTGGATAGTTTTTGTTAAAGGGCTTAAACATCTTCAGACATATCCAAATAAATATGCATATAAAAGTTTTTCCTGTCTTCCTCATCTCAAACATCCCTAGTATGTTTATACAGAAACGTGTCAAAATACCTTTCTCCATGTAAATTTCTATCTTGTCTTTGATGGGTGTTGTCAGTCGCTGAGTTCTCTGTAGGTACTTCATGACGTAGATGTTTGGTGCAAATCTCACCATGTTCTGCTCTCCACAACCACCAGGCATTCTCACTAGATTCTCAATATTTGTCAGAGAAGGACCAAGAATGTCACCTGTATACAATGTGAAACAAGCGTATGGATGTATTGGCTTGTCTTACTTTGATATATAGTGTAATAAATGATGTTCCAAAAATGTTATATACACTTCCTGCACAAACAAAAATATACTTGCCACAAAAAGAAACTGCACATAGGACCTAAAATTGGAACTACATGTGTGCACAAATACATATGTAATTAGTGAATTGAATTTGAACACAAATATAGGCGCGATTTCTTGTTCTACGGTTTCGGCAAGGACACGTGAACACATTTGTGCATGTGCATCTCAATAATCTGCATGAAGGAAATTAATGTCAACAAAGAGACAAAGTCATCATTAGCCCTCGCAGTGGTAAAATACTTTCATGAATATGTCAACTAGTTATGACGCTCTGATGTACCTCAGTAATGTTGATATGTGGTACTGTTGATTTATGACATTAGATTCTTGAATAGCACAAACTGGAAGGTGAGTATTGAAAGGTGTTTAAGGTCTGCTCCAGAAAGGAGCACTACCACCAATTTCAGTCAAAGTAAAACTTGTTGCCATAGAAACGCAAAAAACTACCAAAAGGCACCATATGCATTTCACCACCAGACCTATCTATGTGCCAGATTTGGTGAAGAAACATGAACGGTTTTAAAGTTCTGCTCCGGAAAAGAGCACTACCACCCATTTCAGTCGAAATCAAAGTTGTTGCCATGGAAACGCAAAAAACATTTTATTCAGAAATCCAAAACTACTAAAAGGCATCAGATCACCACGAGACCTATCCATATGCAAAGGTTGGTAAATAAATATTGAACGGTTTTTATGTTTTCCTCCGGAAAAATGAATTTGCACAGACGGACGGAGTTCAAAATAATAACCCACCCCCCACCCCCCAAAAACGCTTTGCGGGGCATATAAATGACAGTTGAGTTGGATAGCTTAATTGTGTGACGTTTGATTGTTAAAAACATTAAATGGTTAATGAACTGCAGCATCAAGCCATTCCCCAAACGTACCATGCTCGTCTGATAGACTCTGTGCGTTAGTGATACAGTGCTTTTCTTGCAGCTCATGGTAGGGATATCCATTATTTTCAAATTTTTATTTATTATTTGTGACGTTCTTGCCTGAACCCCGCCCATATAACGACAATGACGTTACGCAACGCTGTTCCGTTGTCTTCTTATGATCATAATGTTTTTAACAATAGAGTTTTTATTGTTCCTATATTTTCATATTTAGAAAGAATTTTAATACAGCACCGTTTCTTGTTGTGGCTAGTGTTTACCATGCCTGGCTGGTTTACCATACCTGCAACACTGACTCTTAATTTTTGTGACCCCTCAACCATTTGTACAGGGAAATCGATTGATGTACTTTCTTGGAATGTTAAGGATTCACGGAGATCGATCAGCATAGCAACATTTTCTGTGCGCTCCAATCCTTCAGGCTGGAAAAAGATATAAACATATTAAAATTCCATGCAATATGAATATTAAAGTTTGGGGTAAGAAGACTTTGGATGTTGTGTTGTGTTGAAAACCCCCAGGATGAATATAATGTGTTACTATGACATCAAGACCGTATATCATGGTCCGACTGGACGTATCATGGTCCGACTGACTCTCTCTGCCATTCCATTTCCCTGTGGATGTTACAGACGGGTTTGTTCTGCCCAGTTTGCAAAGATGATTGATCAAGTTCCTCTCACACTTTGACCCTCCTTGAATATGCAGTGCTGTGGAAAACCATATAGAAAGGGGTTGTTTAAAAAAGTCTTCACTGGGTTGCCTTTGCACCCATGTTCCCAGTAGAGTAGACGTGAGAATATCTTGTGAATTCATCAGTCAGATCAATAATGTTCATCCCTTTGCAATCTTCCAATTGAGGAAGCCAGTGGACAAGGGGTTAACTGTTAGAGATGGATGTCATTCTGTTGGCGTTCTTCTAAAGCATCCAACACAGTTTGGCTGATAATGATGTAAGTAATTCCCAGCCACTGGGACCTATCCTTGTGGGAGAGACTGAGTTCGTTCTCTGCAGAGATGACTAATCCCATCATAGATAGCAATTCTTTTTACCACTTCATATTCCATTTGGCTGCGACAGAAGTCTATGAAAACACCGGTGGCAAACTTATCTGGTGTCTCGTTCTGATGACTTTTCCTGCAATCACTGTGGAAGGGAGCAGCTTAGGCCAGGCAATAGAGAATTTATTGACATATTTCCTGTTGTATCCGGCAAATCAAAGGAGTGAGGAGTTCGCTCGTTCAGTGCTTTATCAATCATTTCCAGATTAAATCTATTTGCTGGTCGTTGGAAGAAGTTACAGTTTTTGTGTGCCATCTTTAACACATTTTCTCTCAGGCATCTATACAAATCTGAAATTTTCCTCAGGTAGTTGTTCTGAGTTACCAGGGAAGTGTCGTGCCAGGGAAGAAATCGGTTAGTTATGGTCCAGGTGTATGTGTTTGAAAAATACAACTACCATAAATCAGAAGGTCTGTGGTTCGAATTCAACAAGACGGTGATGTCGTCTTGGTTTTGGGGACAGCCTGTTGCCAGGTTAAGACAGATCTGGTGATTTCGGAAGGATGTTTCACTGGACAGCATTACTTTGATCAAATTCTTGCAACAAATGCCAAGGACCCGTTTTCAGCAAGTTAACACAGGATTCCATATAATGTCTTCCTAAGGCCAGCGCCTTCATCAGAGGCATCACCATTAGAACACTTGTTGGATGACCTTGACAATCTAACTTCAGGCCCAGTGCCTGCAGGAGTTGCCTAAGCCAGCAGCGGTAATTACTAATAGTAATGGCCCTGGGCTAACCATACTCTGCAATCAAATATAAATAGCTCTCTCACGGGGCAGCCCAACAGCTAAACTTCAAAGTAAAACCTCACGCCCAAACTCTTCAATTGCGAATCATCTCTGTACATCCTTTAAGTACAACATAAAGTAGAAGATCACTGACAGAACATGTTCCAGGGTATGTGAAGTCACAACAGGTATCAAAGGTTAAAGGTCACATGCAACCAAAAAATCAAACATAATTAAAACACAATTATCACTTATTCATGACATATAATATACATTGCTGGTATTGAAAAAACATATAAACAAAATTATAAGCGTACAATCGCAAATCAAAAGTGCAAAATTGTGTACTTCGGTTTACTTCCCAAGAAACGAAGCAGCCGGGATACCGAACCCAGTCAGAGCGGGTGGGTGTGCACACAAGTGTAACGGCTGGTTCATTTGCAGATGCCTTCACGGCTCATTGTGTGTGTATATATAGAGATATTGGGTTTTGTAAATACATGCTCATTTTTTGTGTATAACATTTTGCAATTAACAGACATCATAACATGTCATGTGTTCAACTATCACACCTGCCTGTCTGTGTAATTCCATAATGTGACAGAGACCGAACTCGGGCCATAAATGAATGCATTTTGTTTATGGTGTATAGCCTGATTGGTGTTAAGTTCAAATTTCATGTGGTCAGTGATAGCAGCTGTGTATTGAATATTGTCAGACAGGCAGGCAGACACACAGGTGTCAGTAAAACAAGACATTGAGTTTTGTCTGTGACAACGACATATCTATATCACAGTTAGAAATTCTGTACAACGCTAAATAATGACATTGCTTTTAAGTATCGAACTGAGAAAGTGACTCGGTAAGAAGAACGTGTGGTGAAATAGACATATGAAATTATATAAACAGTCATTTACTGTCATAACATATAAAAAGCTCGCGCCTGTGAGATATCAACAAAACATTAGAAAAATAGCTCACACCAAATTTAGCCTTCACCGAGTATTCACCCGACAACCCGCTTCCAAGCTGCGCGAACCTATTTCACTGCGCACGTGCTATGAGCGCAGCCCAGCTGTTGAAACCCGTTTTCCCCAGAAAAAATCGGTGGAAAATTAGTGAAACGTTTGAACTCCGATTTCGCGCGGTTTTTTTCATCGCGTTATTTTTTAACTATATAAGTTGAATTTGCATTTTTGACAATTTGTTTCGGTAAGTCCATACCGAAAGGTATCAGAGTCTGCAAAGTTGTGTTTTACGTTGCATGTGACCTTTAACATTTATCATGCCTTGATCTCCCGAATACAAAACAAATTGACACTATCAACACGTGCTGATTGTTCAAATAATCCATCAAGGCATGTGTCTTTTGTCCTGAGCTAATTTCTGCCACTGGATTCACTATTTGGTAGTTTAACCTTTGTCGAGAAATGGCACACGAACAGTTTACCGGGCATAGCTTACTGCAAGGATAATTCGCTCAGACTGTCGACTATGGCTCTTCCTTCACAGATCTGGAGTGCATCCTTCCATTCTGTGGCTAGTTGTGTTAGGGTTACACCAAACTTATTCTTATCCTTTTGATTACCCTCCTGATCAAACACCTTGAGGATTAGGAAATATTATCAATTTTCACTGCTTGATGTATTTCAAGAACACTGTCAGCATTCAAAACCAATTTAAAATCACAACTCACCTCTACCCTTAGGATTCTCCTCACACCATCACCAGACTCCCAGGACAATAAATCCACCTCCAGTATCACGTCACCGACCACCATAGGCTTGATCACGAAGTACACAGCACGACCTTTACCTGCTGGTATCTGAAAGCAAGATGAATGTTGCCAGTAGTTAACACATGTGCATTCCATGTTGTACAATGTATCAATTTAGCCTACAGTTGTCTTTTCTATCATCTGTTTACCTCTCTGAACAAATAAGCAGCACATATGATATGACAAAACACTATAAGTTTAGACTATTTCTTTGAGTATGCTTTGGCTAACAGAGGCAGCACTTTATATTTTTATGAAAATAGACTGATAAAGACTCATAAAGTAACTAAGACACAATTACATATACATATACGCTTTAGAAAAAGATTTGTTAACTCGTTCTATCACAACTATCACTATAACAAGTTTATATGGTAACAATCATTTAAATCTCAGCTATTTCTAGGCTTATCTGTAAACCAGTTACCCCTATGAATATAGTACACAGAGTTAAAAAAAATGTTTACATCAATAGAATGTGACTGCTGAGTTGAGTATATGTCTTTTTCTTGGCCTCTGCTTGCACTCAGGAAAACGTTGTGGAACTGTGCGTTCTGTTTCAGAATTATGAGAGCCTGCAATAAAATGATACCGATGAAAAGTTATGTGCTATATAATTGAAAAAAAACCCTATATTTTTGGCATTTGGCGTTGGTGGAAAGTGAGACAAATCTCCTCACAGAAGAGGACATGTGAAATTTTACACATTGTAAAAAGTTGTTTCTGTTTCTTTACCTTAAAGAAACCCCCGCACTCCGTTTTCTGAAGGCCCATATCAGTTTTTCACAGTGTGGATGTGATAGTTTTGAAAAACTGAAAATATTATTACCTTTGCGCATACCTTGGAGATATTTATAGAAAGCAGGATGAATAACTCCAAGGTATTCGCAAAAGTAATAATATTTTTGGTATCTGAAGTATCTTAATTACGATATGTAAGATTTTATTAAAAATACTCATATAAAAATACATTGTCTTATCTATGAATTTGCTTCACTTTAATGTAGTCTAGTCTGTCTCACAGTCATTGAACCATATTATTTTCCCATTGACACAATGCAACTTTGCTCTGAATAAAGGAAGACTAATTTTCTTCATGTTCTGAATCTCCCCTCTCACTTTGGCTCCTTTTCAATTCAAATGGAGATGTTTTTGTGTCTCTCGGAGTTTCAGAAACTAAGCACTGGTCTACGCTTTAATAACACAAAGTATTTGTCAACTATTCAGTTCCAGTTGCCATAACCGTGTATCTCCTGTCTGCATCTCAATGTTATAAAATAATTATATATGAGGCGACTGATACTGAGTAGTTGCCAGCTGGTGATGCTTCAGCTTTTGAGTGTCATTATCATTGTGAGTACTGACCCCATGAATAGTACAAAATACCACTTCTCATGAAATATCTACTACATACAGTGGAACTTACAGATGAAGTACTGGTTGTAACAATGATCACCCTTCACAGCACCAAGACTGGGTTTTTAACATATTTGAGACTTTATGTATTTGTAGCGGAATGCATGTTTCCATATCCCTGACAAGGAAGAGTTAGGTTAAGCATACAGGCAGAACCTTTGGGGAAGACAGACTGCCATCCTATACCAGAGAACTGCGGTATACATTCACTCTATCACTCACTTACTGGCAGATCTCGTTCATGGTAGTTGAATGCTGTCGCCTGCAGCACAAACTCTTCTCCACGAACAACAGAATATGGGAGTTCTAATCTCAAGAACAGTTTGCGTGCAGTTGTCAGCTGCAACAAAGTAATACATAGCCCATTAATACAAACACATCTTCAATCACACAACGTGACACAAGTCGCCTTCTCACTTAACAAGTTTGAAATCTATAGCTAATGAATGGGCTGCAGTATAACTTACGTTCGCAGTGCGGGTAGCAACAGCAAGTCCTTTTTCTGGATTCACAGCAAAGGCGCTGGTGATCCACGTTGTGATGGTGTCAGGAGCTTGCAATGACAAGTCGCTATGTCCGGAAGTACTGAGTATATGAGATATTAAACTGGTCAGTGTGCTTTTATGCATATCATGTGTAACAGCAAAATAGACACAAACACATGTACACATAAATGTACAGGCTGTGACATAATTCTTTCTTTACTGAATCAGATATGAAACTGAATATCAAATTGACTTTTTAAACCAGCAGAAAACTTGAACCAATATTTAGTTAATGTAAATATTTAGAATGATAACAGTATATGTGCAATATTCACAAACTTGATACTTCGTACATGTTAATAACACTTGTATGGTAATCAATCATTCAAGATATAATCAGCATAGTTCCGTGTTTTACCCAATAACCACCATGTCCCAAATCCAGGTTTCCGGGAAATTACTGCGTGTTCTCTCCACAGATTTAAAGTTTCCTTGCTCAAGAACTGCATTTGACTGACCGCCAAAATCCTCAGCACCGCCAAAACCCCCAGCACTCATTGGACTATCGACTGCAAGACGAAATCTGTTATCTGAAATAAAGACCACTCTGTATAAAAGAGAACTGGGATACACAAGTAAAGTAATGATACATCAACTGAGCAAAGTATTTGTATTGATTCATCTAATGTTTTTCAGAACTGCAGTTCTGAACGCTTTACTTTAATTTGTTCCTCAGATAAACAGATCCAACTAACAAGATTATGCTTGGATTTACATAACCATTTAAATAATTCACTATGACATAAGCGGCATGTTTATCTTGCATTGGTAACAGTAATCATTTGAATGTTAAAATTGAACAGACTACAGGTAATGTCATTTTTACTTTTCTGGGGAATATCAATAACCACACAGCAATATAAAAATAGAAATGCAAGATACAGATGTAAATCACAAAAAAATGAAATAATATCGTGGAATTCATGTCAAAAGTGTTTTCTATTCCCTTATTTTGAAATAAACATTTGTTCAATCGTCTATATTTGAGGTTTCTACTGAGAAATGTTGGCTGTAGCTATACGTCCAAAGGAAGAGGTTGTCCAAGGATCCTTGACAGGACAAACGTACCTCCCTGATGTCATCGACAACACCGTTATGCCCTGTCATCCATGCCCACACAGCCACACACTCCATTTACCAGGACGATAATGCACGCCACACCGTACACAAAGTGTGCAGGATGCGAAAATACAACATTGCATTGAATCTCCGGAATGGCCATGTGTGCGTCCAGACCTTAACCCCATTGAGCATGTTTGGGATGCGATCGGTCGAAACATTTACAGACGTCACAATCCTGAGAACCATATAAGAGAGCTCAGAGATGCTGCAGTAAGTGAATGGAACAATTTGCCAATGTGTTTCCTTAAGAAGTTGGTTCTATCAATGCCAAAGAGGTGTCAAGCTGTAGTGAAGCAGAGAGGTGTTTACACTCAATATTAACTGGTTCGTTTGTTGTGTGGCGGAGCTGACAACTCAAACATTGATTCTATTTTACTTTTCACTTGATACTCTTTTGTGATTTTTCATCTTTGATCACAATGATTCAAAACATGTTTGGTTTTGGCAAATGTAAAATTTCTTACACATTACGTTCTGCTCTGCACTGTAACGTTTTTGACTGTAAATTGTGACATCGTAATGTTTTCATGTTGCGCCTTTGCTTACACCCCAGAAAAACCTGCTTCCAACGGCTACCGACTGCATCTATCACACTCTAATGTTCCATGTGAGGTCAGAATATAGGCGTTGTTTAACCTTTACCATTAGTATATAATACATGTGTGATTTCAGAACATAGAATATACTTGTTTAATCTCAAATAGTTGTTAAAACATTTTAGTTGTTACAATCCGTGCACATGCAAGTTTGCTACATTTCCTGATATATAAGTTCAAAATTAAACTTTCTTAACCTAAACAAACTGGGCTTTTACCAAGTTAACCAAAAAGTTAATTGTTAAAGGTGTGCTTTTCCTCACTGATATGTTTAAGAACAAATTTCTAATGTCATAATTAGATAGTTCGAATTGTCAAACATTGTAGAAATCACATCAATAGATATGCTAAACATGTACACTTTCAACTATTATTCAACCTTCAGTATTACAAACGTAAAAACAAAGCTACGTGTACAGTTAGCCAAATCAAATCCAGAAATGAACAAAATCAGAGAGTTTGTAATATTTTAGTTTAATTTGAACCATTTATCATTTATGGTTTACAAAAGTATTCACCTGAGATGATAGTTAGCCCTTTGATCTCGCCTCATGCAGGGGTACCAAATGTTAAGATACAACAGAGTGGTCATTTCAAGAAAAGGTCACCAGCAACATAGGAGCATGCTGGCTTCCGGTGAGAACTAAATGGACAGGATGTCTGTTGCGTTAGTGTGTGTTACATGTAAACTGACGGCAAGTGGAGGTGTTCAGAATGTTACGTCTCCTTTATATAACTGGAATATAGCTCAGTTCATAGTTAAAGGCTCACTATCACGCCACACTTCTCTAAAAATCAATATTGTATTTCTCTCATTAATACTAACTATCAGCCCCCAGCGAAGCAACTACATAATCAATTCCGAAAGAAATACGTATTAAGATTACAATATGAAATTAAAAAGTTCGAATGAATTTATGCAACGTTGCATTAAATAGATTTTTGCGCCCTCTACCGACCGAACTATATTTCAAGTGAACCCAATGCGGTGATGTCCCTCGGAACGCTCTTTACGAATATCCTATAATGCAACTTGTGATTGATGTCGGTTCGGCAAACACCGACAACACCGCGTGCGTCAGTTTTCTGATGTACGGAGCAATCGTTTACATTCCATAGATGGCAAGTGTTATTTGTTTGGAAGCTGTTCGCCTCGAAGTTTCAATTGTCGATTCAGGCAAGTCGTAAGGGATAATAAGTCTTTATTGTATCAATAGGAAGCTAAAGTGAGTGCATATACCCTAGTATATATATTACAGACGGAAATATTGTCACATATGTTATATTTGGGATTACACTTTCTTAGTAAAGTACACATTCTAGTACTTTTGGGGAGATGAGTCAGCCACCATTCTTTTGGAAGACGCGGTAGCTGAGCGGGTTAGGCGGCTGACTTTGTGTGCTGGCGAATAGGTGCCTGATTCCCACCCCGGATGGGACTCAACCCCCCAAAAGTACTAGAATTTGTGCTTTACTAAGGAAGTGTAATCCCAAATATAACATATGTTACATTTGTCCACTTTCTAAATGGCATTGTGTAATCAAAATATTATCGAAAAAGCGTGACATTGTGCCTTTAAACAACAACAAAAAGAAAGTAATTAGAGATGAAACAGGGCCAAAAGTACACTAACAACATCACTTATACTCACCGTAGTAGTAATCTCTATGTTTGTAGACATTGGCATCAGTCACAACGGCAAGATTAGCCCCCCTTGATGAACATAAGATATATCTGTTAGTTGATGTTTTCTTTAACAAATTATTTCATTTCATATCAAAATTATTTGTGCTGGTCAAACCTTCCATTTTACAGACAACAAACGTTATGATATATCATGCCTTTATTGCTTGGCACCTGTATGTCTTATGTATGAAGAATAGCCTTATCAATAGTTATGATCAAAGGGAAAATTATACAAATATTCCACATGTATTGTGGCTGCAGTCGCATAAAACTATTCTTCAGAATTGTCAACAGACGTTCTGTTCTTTGCCAGCTACATCCAGCTCTTCAATTTGTAAGAAAAGAATACCCCCTACTGCCACCATCCACAGAAGAGATAACAAGCGAGGAGGGTAGGAGTAATCAAGATAGAATTCCTAGAATTATTAACTATGATAATTGTCGTTTTGTAATATTTAAGAATCCTCCACATAGGATATTGATAGAATATACCACATGGAAACAGGTAGGCCCTGACACTAGCACACTCCTGATCTAGTTAACAGGAGTAATATCTACTTGTGGAGTCATCCTAGGAATCCTTCAAAATGTGTCTGCAAAAACATAACTTTGTATGTAGTCTCTTCCTTACAATAACAATAAGTATAGCATGTCGGATAGAAAGTAGCGCATGTATGACGGTTTGCTGATAAAGAATCTCTGGTCAGCGCAACCTGCAGTTTTTGCGCCCCTTCATCCCTGTACACAAAGCCTAAAATTGGACTGAAGCTCGAGTTGGATCTCCAACCGCTGATTCCTGTCCATGTTACTAAAGGACTGAAAGAATAATGTTCTACAGGAATACATTTCTTCTGCCCCCTGTAGACTTCTAGGCCATTTCGATTGTAGAGAACCTTAGCAGTAGATACTTGAAATCGTTCTGTGTTATCTTGATGAACCTCCCTCAAGTTCGTCACTGAACACTGGAATGGGTTGAGATATGACTTTCACTCTGTATCTGAGATGTGTTGTCTCCAAATCCAAAGGAGTTGAGAATGCATGTAAGTCTCTGATTTCAGTAGAACACTTTGTATATTAGTGATCAAATCCAAGGGGTTATCAATTATGCTGACCTAATCTGTTTTAGTGGGACGTGGTGTCTCAGCAGTATTATTCCAGTATGAGGCAAACGATTTAAGACAGAAATGCGTCAGCCATAATGTCCATGGAGTGCTGGTTGATGGGTGCTGACAAATTATGTGCAAATGTTATTTGGCTAATGGCCCATCTTCAGGGGCTCCTCATCTAGCACTTGGGATTATGGCACAGGCAATTAAGTTGTGATATTCGGGGATCCTTGACTGCTGTTCTATACATCTCCATCACAAGACCAATCCAGTATCACTAGAGCACAGGGAACAGGTGCCTTTAGCCCATGTATAACAATATCATGACAGTCGGGTATATGAAGTTCCCTCTCAGCAGGGCACCATAAGGAATTCGTGAACAGACCTACAGGTTGGAGCTATTGTCTTATGTCTTGAGCTGTCCTTGTGGGAATCATGCAGTGACAGCTGAAAGATCCTACTTTCTTGTCTGTCCCATACGTGCTAGCTTGACCGGACAGCAGGCGGCTTCTGTGATCTTGACTGCCATGCATAGACCATGTCAGGTGTAGATCTTGATTGGGTGAGGGTGGACAGCCTCTACCCAGACAGCCAGTAATACATAGACTGCTGACCAAGGAGTATATCATAAATATCCTGCAAGATCAAGACCGGACAAGCCATCTTTGGGCTTGCAACGATACTTAAATATGTACAGCCGTCACCCATATATGTTACATATGGCAAACTAAGGATTTTCTAGGTTTGAAAAAGGCTAATAGCAGATTTCACCTAATCATAATCTTGTTCAACTAGTGTAATTACTTAACATAAGTGATGCAGTTATGACACAATATGAACGTCCATTCTGAACACACACGAAATAAGTGAGGATTTCCAAACTTTTCCAAGCTGAAGAGTTGAATGCTGTTTGGAGGTAATATTTTGCTTGAGAACTAGCCTTGAGTACCTGACAGTGAAGAATACTTCTGTGGAAAGTTCTGAGGATTAGTTTTGTGTGATTGCAGCCCCCAAACAGGATTAAAGAAATAATATAATAGAGGAAGGGGATTCATAAGAAGTATACACTATCTGCAATGTAACAGACATAAGTCCCTGTATTGTTTAGTCATGAATCAGAATGAATTTCATACGGAAAATACTCCTTTGGCATCAGTACCCCCCGAAGAGCGAGGAAGCCAACATCCACGGAACCACGAATCAAACCATCCAAAGTAGGAACCATAGTCATATGTCATGAGCTCTCGTGAAACCTGCAATACAAAAAGCATATCTTGACCAGTATGTGATGCAGCCTGTCAACACGGCACTGGTAAAGCAAATCTTTGGACTTTTATAGTATGTAAACAAATCACCTCTATGGATGACAACTTCCGTTATTTTGCAATATAGATTCTTACACCAAAACAAGAGTCTGTTTGCAACACATTTTGTGGTAATTAGCAGATTAACATGAACAAGACCAGGTACTGGATAACAAGTAACACAAAGATATTTGGATGAATCAAGATGTACAGTAAGAATAAAAATAGCAAACATGATGAAGTCAGATGTACAGGACAGCTAATAAATTACTTGATTTAATTACTTGAATTGTATTTTGGCATATTTTCTACGTCGTTTAGTGTTTTGTTTGAGTCAGAAAAAATATGTAAATTTAATGAAATAGGAGAGAGACTATATCATGTGAAAGATACCATACTGAAAATGTATCAGAAAGTCCCAGGTTGTGATGAGAAATTTAGAAACCATAGAATTATGAATTAATGATCAATTATTATTTTTAAAACTTCAAATTAAAATATGAAGTAGTTAAGTTAAAGCAGGGTAACGTGAAAGCATCAAAAAAGAATAGAGGGATTATAATCAGAAGAAAAGTCAGTTGCCATGAAGAAGGTGAAAGGAATACTGAATATTTTACAAATTTGGCATACCTGTTCATTTAAATGCAATTGGTTCTGAGAATGCCTTTTAACACTGCAGTTACCATACCTGTTAGTTACATGTGGTAGAATCATGATTATCAAGTCTCAGATTGTGCTCCTTTCTACATCTCTCCATGGTACTTCTTAACCCGACAATAACGTATTGTACACTCAATCTTGTTAACTTGCACTCAATCCTTGTTCAATTTAATTCATGAGAGAAGCATGGTAAAATAATCAGTATTATGTTTGCTAAAGATTACTTTTGAAGAAATTATACTATCTGTTTTTGTAAGTACATGTATAGGAACGTAAAACAGACAAGAGTCTTTTTTGTGTCTCAAGGGTTATTGGCGACATTTAGTACATGGATCTTTAAAGCCAAATGTGAGCGATTGTTTTGCAATGATAAATACAATTTTCAAAAGACAATGATACTCAAACCAATAGCTCTTTCTTTCAGTTTACGTATTGCCTGTTTTGTAAGTAAATAAAATAATCAGTAAGAGTCATTGGCTGTTACATCAGATGAATGACTGTTTGTGGTAGTGTAATTGTCATTCCATTAAAAGCTGATATAATTATTTGTCATTTGTTGTGTGTTAGATGCTGTTTTAAGCCAGAATCATGTGTATATAAATCTGACAGAAACCACATGTCGCTTTGAGATTATATTTGATAAAACACTACCTATGTGTAATATATAATTACTCAATATAACGTTTCAAATGAACCCACCATCTCTTCCGTAATATCATTTCCATCTTTGAGTAGCAGGACACTCTTGTCCCTACCCAGGAGGAACACCAGAGAATCTGGGTCCGCGTGCACTTTGACATTCACAGCTGCTCCAGGTTTCACGCTCCGCTGATCAAACTCCACACGAACCTGTAAGAGAAGCAACATTCTCTAATTAATGTTAGCAGTCTGCTGATAGGCATGGTATTAAGAACAATGTGGGTGAAACATCTTTATGACAAGGTCATATGGTCCGTACTTTTCATTGCTAATGATTAAGGTGATTATTGTAAGCCAGTGGGGATGAAGAATCATCAAATAAGTTCCTTAGTGGAATATACCATTTCTATATTCTTAAGAAAGTAAATACTATATGGATATCAACTTCTTTATTATATATGATGCGACATTTCGGTATATATTTTTGTACCGGTGTCAAGAAAGAGTGAAGTACTACAGCACAGAACAGATTTATATACTTGTACAGTGCACGTGGTGACAACATAGTTTGTCCAGTGATTGATTTCAATTGACAATCCAACAATCAAAAATACTAAGAAACACTGCAAACTTGCGAAAATATTGTCTTACATTGTTATCAAATGTTCCATCCACTTTTATTGAGATAGCATCAGCGACAATTTCACCATCATCATGTTGGAAGTACACAACAATCTGAGGGTTGGGAGCCATCTCGGCTGTCATACGGATAGCGAAGACGTTGCTGGATGATGGAGAAGGGACAGATACATCCTGAACAGCAACAGTGCGGCCCCGAGACAGCACCTGCAATACACACATAGGTATGAGTAGTGTGTTATTCATTTTCTCAATTTGGTATTCTATATTTAATGGAAACACGGCTTGTACTGAAACACAATGAAAGCGATTGTTCTATGCTGTCTTTATACATTAAATATGTTAATTAGAGGATAACAATGTTTTGTAACATAGAACTAAGTTAATTACCAGTTAGTAACATAGCTGGAATATAAAAGCCGGTTATGGGTTAGCAATATACCTGGTAGGTGAAGTCAGATATGGGTGTTGTGGATCTTAACTGGAATTCCATGTTGTCACCGACCTGATAAGAGATGAAGATATGGTCTTAAAGGATAGCACTTGTCATATATCATCAATATGTGTTGAGAACATCAGATGAATAGACATTTATAACATATATAGGAGACTTCTTTAATACCAAGGCTGAATAAATTCAATACTTCAATACACTTTGTGGAAATAAATCAGTCCATTTAAGAAACCCAAGTGGTGCCTAGTTACATTGACGTTGATGAATGATGTTGCAACCTACCCGAGTTTGGGCATCGGGGACTGTGAGCTGAATATAACTCCCCGAAGGGGAATGACTCTTGCTGGCATATCTGTATGCATGGGTGTTAAAACCATCAGCCTGAAACAAGACACATCACACCAATTTCTACTTATTGTCATATGGCTTGTAACATAATACTGAGCACTGTATCATTTGACAGTAAGAACGGTCAGATATGGAAAGACCTTAACATATTCTCATAGGTCACTGATTTTATTATATATATATATTTATTTTTTTTCGATTGAAAATGAATTAAGTGAGCAGCATTATATCCAAAACATGAACTGCACTGATTCTTAGACAACATTCAAAGAACAATTCTACATGGTTTTATGTTTGAAACAATAACTTGATGAAAAATTTCAAAACAATTTTTTACGCAATTGAGAACAGCTGATCGTTTGGGGAACAAATTTACAACAGTTAAAACATGTCACTGGTTATGTTGCTGATTATGTATAATAAATACAAAAATCTCCAGTGTATGAAACTCTTTGATGAATATACATGTATATATATAAGAACCATTTCATCCCACACTGATTTTACAAACGTTTCTCCTGATATCCTCATCATATCAGTTGAGAGTCATAAAACTTACAATATGGATGCTCTGAACATGCATCCACAACATAATTTTGCAACAAAAAAGAGGAGATTTTAACTGCTTAAAATACATGTATATAAATGTTTTAGACCTTATAAAACACACAACACTGATTTGACAAACAGTTCTACAGTGAGTAAGTGAGTTTAGTTTTACGCCGCACTCAGCAATATTCCAGCTATATGGCGGCGGTCTGTAAAGAATCCGGTCTGGACCAGACAATCCAGTGATCAACAGCATGAGGATCGATCTGCGCAAATGGGAACCGATGACATGTGTCAACCAAGTCAGCGAGCCTGACCACCCGATCCCGTTAGTCGCCTCTTACGACAAACATGGGTTACTGAAAATCAATATTCTAACCCGGATCTTCACGGGTCACTTCTACAGACCCAAGGAAGCCTTAAAGCTTTGACACCAATACCCTGGTGAAACATTTATCACCTGTTCATTTACCTGCAAATTAATGCTTTCTGCATCAGTTGGTATGTTTGCCTTAACTTCAGCAAGGCCTGTTTTGGGGTTAAAGTTGACCATGTTGGAAGAGAGCACAACTGTCTTGTAGCGGGGGTAATAGCCAGGCCCTGGTCGTCTGAAGTCTGGGTCGACCATAGTAATGGGTGGAAGAGGGCGCCCTGAACCAGTTGTTCCATTACCTTCCAACACCATGTCTGGTTTGGGTTTGGGTTTGGCGGTAGTGGTGGTAGTGGTGGTGGGTGGAGCTGGTGTGGTGGGCAGGACCACTTGATAAGTTATTGTAACATTCACTTCTTCCAGATCTTGTGGTGATACAAGTCTGTCATCACGTTGGCTTACTTGCAACTGTAACAGCAAAATCACTCACTACACACAGGCACATAATACGCTACTCACTACTCACTGGTACATAAGACGCTACTCACTACACACTAGTACACAAGTCGCAACTCACTACACACTGGTACATAAGACGCTACTCACTCACTACACACTACTCACTACACAAGATGCTCTTCACTACACACTGGTACATAAGACGCTACTCACTACACACTGGTACATAAGATGCTACTCACTACACACTGGTACATAAGACGCTACTCACTACACACTGGTACATAAGACGCTACTCACTACACACTGATACATAAGACGTTACTCACTACACACTAGTACATAAGATGCTACTCACTACACACTGATACACAAGATGCTACTCACTACACACTGGCACATACGATGGTACTCACTACACACTGGTACATAAGACGCTACTCACTACACACTGGTACATAAGATGCTACTCACTACACACTAGTACATAACATGCTACACACTACACACTGGTACATATGATGGTACTCACAACACACTGGCACATACGATGGTACTCACTACACACTGGTACATAAGACGCTACTCACTACACACTGGTACATAAGACGCTACTCACTACACACTGGTACACAAGACGCTACTCACTACACACTAGTACATCAGATGCTACTCACTACACACTAGTACATAAGATGCTACTCACTACACACTAGTACATAAGACGCTACTCACTACACACTGGTACATAAGATGCTACTCACTACACACTAGTACATAAGATGCTACTCACTACACACTGGTACATAAGATGCTACTCACTACACACTAGTACATAAGATGCTACTCACTACACACTGGTACATAAGATGCTACTCACTACACACTAGTACATAAGATGCTACTCACTACACACTGGTACATAAGACGCTACTCACTACACACTAGTACATAAGACGCTACTCACTACACACTGACACTGATACACAAGATGCTACTCACTACACACAGGCACATACGATGGTACTCACTACACACTGGTACATACGACGCTACTCACTACACACTGGTACACAAGACGCTACTCACTACACACTAGTACATAAGACGCTACTCACTACACACTTTAGTACATAAGATGCTACTCACTACACACTAGTACATAAGATGGTACTCACTACACACTGGTACATAAGACGCTACTCACTACACACTAGTACACAAGACGCTACTCACTACACACTGGTACATAAGATGCTACTCACTACACACTGGTACATAAGACGCTACTCACTACACACTGGTACATAAGATGCTACTCACTACACACTGGTACACAAGACGCTACTCACTACACACTGGTACATAAGATGCTACTCACTACACACTAGTACACAAGACGCTACTCACTACACACTAGTACATAAGATGCTACTCACTACACACTGGTACATAAGATGCTACTCACTACACACACTAGTACATACGATGGTACTCACATACACACTACACACTAGTACATAAGATGCTACTCACTACACACTGGTACATAAGACGCTACTCACTACACACTGGTACATAAGACGCTACTCACTACACACTGGTACATAAGACGCTACTCACTACACACTAGTACATAAGATGCTACTCACTACACACTGGTACATAAGATGCTACTTACTACACACTGGTACATAAGATGCTACTCACTACACACTAGTACATAAGATGGTACTCACTACACACTAGTACATAAGATGCTACTCACTACACACTAGTACATAAGATGCTACTCACTACACACTAGTACATAAAATGCTACTCACTACACACTGGTACATAAGATGCTACTCACTACACACTAGTACATAAGATGCTACTCACTACACACTAGTACATAAGATGCTACTCACTACACACTGGTACATAAGATGCTACTCACTACACACTGGTACACTACACACTGGTATGACGCTACTCACTACACACTAGTACACAAGACGCTACTCACTACACACTGGTACATAAGATGCTACTCACTACACACTGGTACATAAGATGCTACTCACTACACACTGGTACATAAGATGCTACTCACTACACACTAGTACATAAAATGCTACTCACTACACACTAGTACATATGATGCTACTCACTACACACTGGTACATAAGACGCTACTCACTACACACTGGTACATAAGATGCTACTCATTAAACACTGATACGTGTGTATATCTATTATTACTCACAAAACATATTCACATTAAACTCCGGTATTACTCATTGTAAACTGACATTCTAGTATTAACTGTACACTGGTACTACTTACTGTACACTGGCGCTATGATATTACTTATAGTAAACTGGCAAACTGGTGTAACTCACTATAAAGTGGCTCTCTGGTAATACTCACTATACACTGACTGATATTACTCATCGTATATTGGCACTCTGGTATTACTCAATGTAACCTGACGCTCTGGTATTGCTCACTGTACACTGACTCTCTGATATTACTAACCGTATAGCGGCACTCTGGTATTGCTCACTGTACACTGACACTCTGATATTACTAACCATATAGCGGAACTCTGGTATTGCTCACTGTACACTGGCTCTCTGATATTACTAACCGTATAGCGGCACTCTGGTATTGCTCACTGTACACTGACGCTCTGATATTACTAACCATATAGCGGCACTCTGGTATTGCTCACTGTACACTGGCTCCTTGAGATTACTAACCGTATAGCGGCATTCTGGTTTTGTTCACTGTACACTGACGCTCTGATATTACTAACCGTATAGCGGCCCTCTGGTATTGCTCACTGTACACTGACACTCTGATATTACTAACCATATAGCGGCACTCTGGTATTGCTCACTGTACACTGACTCTCTGATATTACTAACCGTATAGCGGCACTCTGGTATTGCTCACTGTACACTGACGCTCTGATATTACTAACCGTATAGCGGCACTCTGGTATTGCTCACTGTACACTGGCTCCTTGAGATTACTAACCGTATAGCGGCATTCTGGTATTGTTCACTGTACACTGACTCTCTGAGATTACTAACCGTATAGCGGCACTCTGGTATTGCCTACTGTACACTGACTCTCTGATATTACTAACTGTATAGCTGCACTCTGGTATTGCTCACTGTACACTGACACTCTGATATTACTAACCGTATAGCGGCACTCTGGTATTGCTCACTGTACACTGACTCTCTGATATTACTAACCGTATAGCGGCATTCTGGTATTGCTCACTGTACACTGACTCTCTGATATTACTAACCGTATAGCGGCACTCTGGAATTGCTCACTGTACACTGACTCTCTGATATTACTAACCGTATAGCGGCCCTCTGGTATTGCTCACTGTACACTGACTCTCTGATATTACTAACCGTATAGCGGCACTCTGGTATTGCTCACTGTACACTGACTGTCTGATATTACTAACCGTATAGTGGCCCTCTGGTATTGCTCACTGTACACTGACACTCTGATATTACTAACCGTATAGCGGCACTCTGGTATTGCTCACTGTACACTGACGCTCTGATATTACTAACCGTATAGCGGCACTCTGATATTGCTCACTGTACACTGACACTCTGATATTACTAATCGTATAGCGGCACTCTGGTATTGCTTACTGTACATTGACTCTCTGATATTACTAACCTTAAAGCGGCACCCTGGTATTGCTCACTGTAAACGGGCACTCTGATGTTACTTACCGTATAGCGGCCCTCTGGAATTGCTCACTGTACACTGACTCTCTGAGATTAATAACCGTATAGCGGCACTCTGGTATTGCTCACTGTACACTGACTCTCTGAGATTACTAACCGTATAGCGGCACCCTGGTATTGCTTACTGTACACTGGCTCTCTGAGATTACTAACCGTATAGCGGCACTCTGGTATTGCTCACTGTACACTGACTCTCTGAGATTACTAACCGTATAGCGGCGCTCTGGTATTGCTCACTGTACACTGACTCTCTGATATTACTAACCGTATAGCGGCACCCTGGTATTGCTCACTGTACACTAGCACTCTGATATTACTAACCGTATAGCGGCCCTCTGGTATTGCTCACTGTACACTGACACACTGATATTACTAACCGTATAGCGGCACTCTGGTATTGCTCACTGTACACTGACGCTCAGATATTACTAACCGTATAGCGGCACTCTCATATTGCTCACTATACACTGACACTCTGATATTACTAATCGTATAGCGGCACTTTGGTATTGCTTACTGTACATTGACTCTCTGATATTACTAACCTTAAAGAGGCACCCTGGTATTGCTCACTGTAAACGGGCACTCTGATATTACTAACCGTATAGCGGCACTCTGGTATTGCTCACTGTACACTGACTCTCTGATATTACTAACCGTATAGCGGCACTCTGGTATTGCTCACTGTACACTGACTCTTTGATATTACTAACCGTATAGCGGCACTCTGGTATTGCTCACTGTACACTGACTCTCTGATATTACTAACCGTATAGCGGCACCCTGGTATTGCTCACTGTACACTGGCACTCTGATATTACTAACCGTATAGCGGCACTCTGGTATTGCTCACTGTACACTGACTCTGTGGTGTTACTAACCGTATAGCGGCACTCTGGTATTGCTCACTGTAGATTGACGCTCTAATGTTACTCACTGTAAACTGGCACTCTGACATTACTCCTTTAACACTAATACATCAAATGTTTTTCACTGTACTGTGATATCAGTGATTTTACACTGATATGGTATATTGATGCTTTGTCCACATTATGCAGAAGTGGATTCACAGTTAACAGCATATGTAACATGGACATTTGGCAACAAGCTTTTCTGTTTGTTTGTTTTCAATTTGAAGAGAATATTTAGTTTTATGAAATCGTTTTAGATTACAAAATAAATGAGCCACAATGTATCACCTTTTCAAAGTAATGATGACTATCAAAGCATGACTTAAAAAATAATGTTTGTGCGTCTGCCAAAGTGGTGGATTCTGTTATGAGTCCAGGTCCGCAGTTAATGTCATGCGGTATGTGGCTCGGAATCCAAGGATCGAGATCTATTAACTACTTCAGGTATGGCTGGTTATTGTTTTGGAGGCAGATGTTGGTACCAGAGACGACACCACAACAGACGTTGGCCACCTTTAGTTCCTACAGATTGTTAAAACCCAATACCGGTGATTTGGACTTCTTTCTGCTATTGAGCATAGTTGAACGTGCAAATAATGAGCAAATGCCATTATATGAATAACCTAAACCCTGCAGGATATCCAGAGACAACATCATAGCATGTTTTGCAGCATGTGGTTACCAGATAATTATGTGACTTTTTAATCACCTTGTTGCTTATACTTGTATCCATCATTCTTTACTCACCCCACACAGGTAGGTCAATCCTGGCTTGAAGATATCTGGACAAACATCAATAAAGTTCAGTTTAAAGCTATTTTCATATATTGTCTTGCGTATCAGCTTGGCATTAAGTGTCTTTTCTGTAAGTGTTTCAGTGACGTTAGCTTCAACTATTATGCTCCGATACTGCAGGTTAATATCTGCTGCAAGCAAAGGTTTCATGGAATAGGTGTCTCCTTCATCGGCCAAGACACGCAGCTCATCAAGTGAAAAGTCAAAGTCACCCTTGCCATCCACCACCTGAAAGTGCAAGTTGTATGTCAGAATATTATGCAGCACATTACAAAATGGCATGTATTCTATGGGCAGACAATACATATTGCTCATTTCCCAGAATTTAGTGGAACTGTGTAGTGTTCACACTCAACGGTAAAACCCCATGTCAACTTCTGTGTTATAATATACCAGAATAATATACCAGCGGCTTTCCTCCATATAAGTATGACAAATATAATCAAACTAATGAAACAACCTACAAACATGAATAAATCTTCCTCCAAATTTTCCTTGGTAACTCACCTGGACTCTTTTCCGAATGAATGGGTTTTTCTTGGAGCCAAAGTTACCATAATAGTAGGAGAAACGAATGTGGATATTGGCTGTTCCATCCACACCTTTGCCATGTGTGTATCTAGTAATAAACATAATGACAATACAGTATAAGAACCACAGAATTTTAAGACCTATGTGCAACTACTTCACATATAAACATGATTTGATATTCAGTGGACAAGTACACCATAAAAAGTTACTCCACTGTAATGTTTTATGTGACATATCGAACGTACAAGAGAAAATAAAACATTATCATTAAGGATATTGTTAACAGATCCTTAGAGGAATTTTAGTGTAGATTTACTGAATAAGAAGATGTATGTCAAACAAAAGTGGTAAAGATTTCAACCTACTTGGCTGTGACAGATCCCGACACAGAGGTCATGTTCAATGTTATGTATGATGGCAGGATGGTCTCCACCTCAAATTTTGGCAACACTGAAGATAAGAGTCCATATTTTATTTACACTATGAATCATGATATTTTTATTCTGAACATATCCACACATCATCATCACATACTATCATTATACCACTAGGAAACTTTTCAATGCATTTATCATGGTCATATTTAAGATGGGGCCAACCCCTTTCCTCTGGGAATCTAGCATGCCACTTAATTTGTTATGGCACTCATGTCAGTGCACACAGCTAGCATAAAAATACAAATGTAGAAGAAAGCACAGCTCACATACACCCGCTTCCCACTTTGGGACATGGAAATGTCTGATATTGATGTGAGAAGAATCAGCAGCTAACAAGACTTCTTCCTTGACTCCACCAAACTGTATATACACGTCAGATAATAGTTTTGCCATTTACTGATTACATTAATACTTGAACCTAGCTCGTTTGGCTTCAGAGATAACCATCAAACACATTTTGAAATAAGTCGTGTTTCCAAGGAAAACAAAAAAATAACATTCTAATAAACTTTAAAATGGCAAAAGGCACATCTTTTGATCATGATTAACGTATGTTTTACGGTTGGTGAACCTAGCATGTATAGTTTCTGTGATATGCTCCAGAGAAGATTTTTAGCACTAAGTCGTGTTTCAATCAGTTGAAGTTAAGCAGTTAAGTTAGTTAAGAAGTTAAGAGTCCTTGGATGGGTGACCGTGTTTGGCAGCTTGACACCTGAGAGTTTCAAGGACTTCAGTCCTGCCCCACAACGAAACACATGTGATTCATGTGGTCTCACCTAAGGCAAGTGAGTTTTTTTATTTTTTTAACCCAGCAGAAAATGGGTATCTGGTGGGATAAGTCATGTGACTATAACCTTCTAACGCCTAGCAGGCACATTTGGTTATCCGGGATAATAATGTTCTGTGCAAGGGCTTCGAGCAGACACTTGGTGCCTGGGGTATTTGGCGCTTCAAAAATACACTCCATAATATGTATTATTAAAAACGGAAGGGCGGAAGGACAGAATGAACGCTATATAACTCCGTTACGGGGGTTTAATAATACTGTGATTTGCATACAGAAAACAATACCATGCAAGAACATAAGCCAAATATCTAATCGATTTGTCCAATGTGCAACAGGTAAGAATGTACATGTATATTAGTTTACAGTGAAATACTGGTATCTGCATACCAGACATTCATTTCATGACACCTGGAACCCTGCAGGTTGGCATCAGGAATACCACTTAACAGGTCCATTGTCTGAATTGTCAGTCAAGATATGCGAAACCTCGGACAAGATTGCTACATTTATGTTTAGACTTGAATGCATCCACTTGCTCTGAAAATGATCTTCACAGTTTCAAAGGAAAGGGCGAACTAAGAAGATGCTACTTGATTCTACAAAACAAATTACAACATACATGATCAGTCTTACCATATTCAGCAATGGTGAACATTTTGGTTTCTTTGTATCTCTGAAACAGTAAGAATCAAACTTATTCCCGCTTTGGGAATGTACATTTTTTACATACTTAATACCAGAAAGTCACATTGTTATATTTCCTGCTGTAAATAGTTCTTAGTTAATCCGTTTGGAAAGGCCATTCTTCGACAATTGAACCAGAATGCCCCATGGTTCTTGCTTAAAGGCACAATGTCACACCATACTTCTCTAAATATACATAATGCATTTCTCACAATAATACTAACTAATACAAATAATCAGCCCTCATGGAAGCCACCACATAATCTATTCCAAAAATATTGCGTATTTGATTACAATATTAACTTTAAAAAGTTGGAACGTTGCATTAAATCGACTCTTGCGCCCTCTACCGGCCGAACTATATTTCATGCGAGCCCCCATAGAGTTATGTCCATTGGAGCGCCCTTCACGAATATCCTATAACGCAACTTGTGATTGAGGTCAGTTCGGCAAACCCCGACAACACCGAGTACGACAGTTTTCGATGTATGGAGCTATCGTTTACATTCCATATATGGCAAATGTTATTTGTTTGGAAGCTGTTCGCTTCGAAGTTTCAATTATAGATTTCAGGCAAGTCGTAAGGGATAATAAGTCTTATATTGCATCAATAGGAAGCTAAAGTGAGTGCATATGCTCCCAATATATGAAATAGAGGCCAAAATATTGTCGCAATTTGTGACATTGTGCCTTTAGTAACTGGTATTTCCGGATTAGAAAAATGTGGCTTCCTGCATTCCTATGTAGTATAAATATAGGGCTTTTTATATTTGTGCAAAATATTGTGTAGAAATATTGATCAGTCTTGCGTTATAGTGCGGGAGCAAAACGTGGTAGAACTAGAAGTCCAGCACTCATGCTGCCGCACTCTTTCCTATATCGCCTACCATAGGATGATATCAAGCATTTGTGTCACAAAAACATCCCCAAAGTTCACACAACGGAACAGTTTAAAGACAAGAGATCTCCATTGGTCCAGAGAATAGATATCTGCAGGGACAATTGTGACCAACTCGTGTTATTCCGGGACGCTCCGAATTGCCGCTCGTGTCCCTCAAGAAGCATTTCATATTAGCGTATAAAGAGCAGCACCACATTAAACAAGAACGATAACTTTATTTCAGTTTAATTCCAATAGCAACAGACATTACGAAAGCATTCACACAGAGTTTTTTTTATGAAGAATTAAACCTATTTGGTATGATACTACTGCTAATTATGCTAGTACGAAGAAGAATGTGTTGAAACCATATTCTTGCGTAAACATTTCCATCTTCTCGTGTTATATTTGTAAATATATTTTTCTAAATATGGTTTTAACGTTTGAAAAGAGTAATAATATATTTCTTAAATGTACATTAACTTCTTCAAATTCCCAACACATTTTAGAATCGAAAATGTGAGTTTTTACCTGAATAGGCAATTACAATTATATTGGTCAGGTGTAATAAGTCATAATTTACAAGAACACACTTGTCAAGTTTAGATGTTTAGATTTATTGCATTTGTTTTCCATTAACCAATCCTGTCAGCATTCATTGCTATGACTTGATTAATAGAGCTGCCCTTAATAGTGAAACATAAAGAATGAGAAGTTGTCACGGTTCGGAATAATAGGGAAACGTTGATAAGTTACATATATTGTTTTGAAACTCGTTATATTCAGAAGCTCTTATTACTAATCCAAACCGATGTTAACCTATAAAATATATATAGATACCCAAATAGATTAACAGAGGAAACCATATGAACAAATGCACGTGTGGGGATTTGAATCGCTCAAGGTGCATGTCCTATTTCAAATAACTGTTATCTACGTACCTTGTAATGTCAAGATGACAATGTATATACACGATTATTAAACGTATGTATTTCACGATTATTAAACAATCTGTTCTTGCCATGACAGATCTAATTGCTCGTGATCACTTTTATCAAAGCACCCCAGTCCTAACACACATTCTGATTGGTTTTCGTATTTTTGCGCATAATATCCATCGACACGTGAAGAGTCTTCTTGCAGTTTACGGAAAACGGCGAGTGATGACGAATGCTACACTAAGAGCGAGAGTTTTGTGCTTTAATACCTGGTTGCGTGAAGCCAAAAGATTTGAAAAATTGTACCAATTGTTATACCGACGGACGCTCGGAATTCGGGGTATAACCCAAGAACTTGTCAGATTGCTGTGTCTGTGTGGGACATCCATCTTAAACTGCGGCATGGTATCACAGTAGCCGAGCACCAAAAATCCGGCAATTTGGACACGGTTTGGGGAAACAAAATGGACTACGTTTCAAAAACTAGGTTCAGAGGAGTAGGGTTGTGATTTTAGGTTCTCTGTAATATTAATAAGTAAAATGCAGTCCAAAAATCGTAAATCAAATATGGCTGCCAAATCACATGACAAATGCAAAAGTCAATTTCACAAATAAGTAAAGCATCTACAGCAGCAGATGCGAAAATTGTATCTTTGAAAGATGTCGTTATTCTTTAAGCATCTGTGCTCGTAAACCATTGATAATGTTTGAACATGTCATGTATTCCACAACGTTTACATGTCAAGTTGTCGACAGCGGTATGCACGGCAAATCTATATAAGTATTATGTTTAAACATCAGCATGTGAAAATGCAGAACGGGCACTACACTAATTTCACTGGTAACGTTAAGTTAGACTGCCTCTTACATCAAGTGTAACTTCTATCTTCCAGTCTCCAGGAACGGGATCCGATGACATGGCGAGGACGCGACTAACAACACCACTGGGATCTGTAGCTCCTCGCCACTGTTTGATACGATTCTTGCTTGAATCCTGAAATAAACGGCACACAGCTAAAGCCTAAAAACAGACTGTGACATTATGTCATTACGTTCAGACTTCATATGACTTTTCATGTCTACAAAATATAGCAATGCAGTCGTGCTGACATCGTTATCAGGTTCATTATTCACATGAATAACGCACGTGTTGACAACAGCTCTACCCTGGTTTGAACATCATAGGGGTCACTGTACTTACATATATGACAATATCCATGGGCTCTCGAACCACTTTCAGGTCAGGGTAGACTGCTACAACCCGGAACTTAACTGTAAACAAACCAATCTGTAATTATTCAGGATGAAGCACACAACGATTTTTTGATAACGGTGTAGTTCTGTCTATGGTATGTCCGAACATGTTTTTATAGCAATATAGATCCCTGCAAAATGTAGAAAATGTGCTCTACATTACCCTTCCCAGTACGTCTAAGAAGATGTGTGACTCGTTCCTGATGTAGTGGGTTTAAACGTAAACGTGAGTTGAGTTTTGGACAAATGTCCCACACACTGAACAATTCTATATAGCAGTTCTTTCACTGAAGATGGCTTTCATGTATTAAGTGCATGTAAAGGTTATTCAGCTTTAAGAAGTAAGGTATCATAAAATGAAATGATGTCATCTGAAGACTTTGATGTTGTATAAAACACATAAACGCATATGTATAATTATTTATATACAGTTAAACGGCTACGAGAAACATTGCCCGTATTATGGGCCTTTGACCTTTTCACTCGGTAAACTGTCTGGCTACTTTCAGGATTAATAACATTTGGATATCGACATAACGCAGTCATGCTAACCTGTATACGCAGTAAGCAATTTATTCTTAGAAGATATGAAGATGGGGTACGTACCCTGTTGCCCGGGTTTATACATTGCCTTGTCGGTCTGAATGAAGATGGACTTGGACTTCTCATTGAATTCACAAGTCTCTGACGATCTGAACTTGAGGCCGCCGGTGCCGGTGAAGTTGAACTGCAGCTCATTCCATCTCCATGGTCTGTTCAAGTCTTTAGGTATCTGTGTCAACATCACAGGAAATGGTATCGTATAAAATGGCCCTAACACCAGTTCATTTTCCCCGCAGTCTTAGTCGTTCTTTTAAGAACCTGTATGCTGTAACATGGCGATATCAAGAGAGGTCGCTAAACTCTATTTTACCAGTATCAATGTATCAAGAAATACATAGATCATTGTATGAAACATCTGCAACAAAGTGAAACTAGATGTGCGTAGATGCTGGAGGAATTTCCACTTTCAAATTGACCATCACCTAGTATCGTACAATTGCATAATTTTGGACTGACGCTACATGATGTATCGTATATACTACTGGAATAAAGTAACTGTGCATTATTGTATGTTGTGCCACTATTTAATGCAAGAAGATAATAACATGATTTGTGGTGTTTTCCTTAGTCACTGTTTAACTGTAGACAGGATAATATCGAAATCTGTACGATCTGACACCCAGGCATCGTGACACGCTCACGCACCAAATTCAGCATTGTTGATGCAGGCTTGACAACGACGACGCATAAACGACGCTAAGCGATTGAAGAAAGCTTGGGGAATGTTGTTCCATGTCTGAACCAACGCTTGCCCAATCCAGCTAACGTCAATGGCTGATTCTAGGCTTGACGTAAACGTCGGTCCATTTCATCCCAAACGTGCTCCATGGGGACAGGTCCGGAGAAACAGGTAGGCAGGGGAGTACCAGTATGTTCTGCTTCCTCCGGAAATCTGTCACAGGACTAGCGACGGGCATTATCTTGCTGAAGCGTGAAGTTACGTCTCTCTCCTTGAATGAACGGCTGCACATAACGCCCAATGATCCTTGTATCGCAGACCTGTCAGATTGCCATTGGCAATGACAATTTGCCCCCCGACCATGAAATGTGATGACCCTCCATATCATAACGCAGTCGCCACCAAACTGTCGACGTTGAACAACGCACGCGTGAGCATACCATTCACCTCGCCGTCTGGACTCCCTTGTTCTGCCATTTGAGCTGTCCAGATTCAATCTCGACAGATGCAACACCATCCTAATCTTGTCGGTGACGTTGGAGCAAAATTGGACGTATTGCATGCCGTTGGGGCCGAATGTTGTACTCCCCCCCCGTCGGTTCTGTACAGTACTGGACTTGACTGGACGTAAGCCAGGAATGATCCGAGCAGTCAAACTGGCAGTGTGGAATCGATTCCATTGATGGGTGAGCCGAATGTGGTTGTCTTGCTGACGTGACGTCACGCGTGGACGGCTGGTCTGAGGCAAATCTATTGTCTTCAAAGAGATGAGATCGTGTCTCGATGGACACCAAAATGTCTGGCCACTTCATTTTGGGCCATTCCATTCTCCAGCATACCCACTGCGGCTAGACGCTGATTTTCTGTAAGCCGTGGCATGACGTAAGTGCAGTTTAGTTTAAAATAACATGTTTCCACAACGACCAGAGGCTAGAGAATAATCAACCATTCTTCAATTTTTAATATCAGGTATGTGAACTTCAAGGGGTTAAAAAGCATGCAAAAGGTGAGTAATTTCATTGTGCACAAAGTACATGTGCCACTTGCAATATGTGACAAAGTGCTTTTGCTACATGTGTATTTAGGGGTATCTTTATAACTTTTCAAACAACGTATATTTGATCTGATTATATGTTATGCACACTTATTTTTTCCCTTGATATGTTGTTTTAGCTGGATAGATATTTTTTTCTTACCTGGAAATCAACTGTTTGTGGTTGACCTGCAAAAAAAACAACAAATGTGCAACCAAAGGGCATTATCAAAGACGTCAGAAAGTGGAAGTAAGTGGAAAGTAAGAAGTATTTGTAAATATATCCACAGTATAAAGGTGGGCGTGAAGAACCAGATTTAACTCCTTATAATATATTATCGGAAGTTTGAATTACACATGTCAAATATACATGGTTGTTGAGGTCGAAATAACTGACAGCATTTATGCTTTTGATAAAACAAATTATTTAGTTCAGAGAAGATATGATTAATTGTAATGCACCAGCCTTTGGTGCTTTCGACTGGGAATACTATCCCGACACGTTCAACCCGATGTCCTGATTTGTTTCTGCAGTTTGGCTATTTCAGATACTATTTGAAAAATGTGAAATATGTTACATGTTTGTTTCACTTGTGTACGAATATGAAATGCAAACGGGGTGAGTATACAAAATATACCATTTAACAAACATTCACTTATCCATAGAACCGTCTCCAGGAGAATGACATGTAAGCGCGTGATACTGTAACCGTAACGCTGACTGTGAAATAGATGAATAACTTAAGAATTTGAATGACTCACATTGACTGTTAGGGTGTGTCATTCCAAATCAGGTTTGTTAGTGTATTTCAACAGTGAAGGCCCATATCATTCACCTAACAAAACATTGGGCCTCTGACCCTAAACCTGAAGAAATGTTTGCACAGAAGTCTCACACTCGCACAGTGTAAATACTAAAGGGTTTGATGTGGATCTTCGGCAAATATAAAGTTCTGGTGCACAGCTCGCTTTGAGCAAGTTGAATAACACTATGTCCAATCTACATCTACATCAGTGTCCTAGTAGCCCGTCTGGCATGACTCAAGGCTAGCAATCGTGCACAGCCAGATCTACAGTTAAATACGAGATTAAGCAGGGCAGAGGAACTGACATTTAAACGACGTACGAGTGTGGTTTAGTCAAATTAATGTAATCTGAAGCCAAGATCTGCGAAAATTAGATTTCTTCTTTTAAAAGTTGGGAAGTACAATGCTGAACAAACTTTGCGGATAACGTCGCACTCACGAAATAAAAGAAGCTGTTATCCATAAAGTTTTTTGAATATAAAATCACTATCACTATTGTACCACCTTGTACGATTGGTCGTATGGCCTTTATACAAAATACACTCTTCTTCTTCTAGTAAGTGGGGATTTAAATTTGGCAGTAGCCACTTCATGGGTGTATGTAATATACGTAATGATATCACATTCCATTTAGTTTGCCAAATTAGTATGTTGCTGTGAGATTAGAAATTTGATATGAATATATTGGCGAGATAACCATACAAAGTACGTCAGAATGGATACGGCGTCAGAATGGATACGTGCCCACTTACTATGTATGATGGATCTCCCTTTGCTCTACAAGACGGAGTCAGAATGGATACGGTGCCCACTTACTATGTATGATGGATCTCCCTTTGCTCTACAGGACGGCGTCAGAATGGATACGGTGCCTTTCTATACTCGAGACGAATGTGTGGGTACATATGGGGACCCACTTGTCCTGTATGATATCTATTCACACACCAACACAACTTACCATTTTATGAAGGTCCTGGTTGTACTCGATTCATTGCAACCGTTTACCTTGTTGTAAAAGATTTATCTGCACGAATGTATTTGAGTGATCTCTGTTAGCAACGTACCCTGTGCGAAGGACCTTGTTGTACTCTGTATGATGGTGTCTGCTGTACGGTTGACAAGAGCAATCTGGATGGACACTGGCTGTGTTGCATTCAGAATCTGTACTCGGATAGGAACTGTCCATCCCGGGGCGATCTTTTTGGCAAAGGTGATGATGTATGTTCCAGGAGAGCTGTAGATTAAAAAGTAAAACTGTTGAGGTCTAATGTTTGTCTCTTAGAAATGGGAAAACGTTTCCTTTTCACTAGAGGTGTAAAGTGTTGATATGGAGGCGGCTAGCAGTTCATTTGTACTTAAAGATCGATATAACGTCTGAGCGGTTAGACCTGGAAACTTAGTTGCTATCACCGTAAATGACGTGGTTGCTCATAATCAGACAGTGTATTGTGTAAGCCACACTATATGTTTCAAGTCTTGTGATGACGACGCTCCACGGCATGTGTGACATACAAGTGCCACTAACTCAGAATGGATACGTGCCCACTTACTATGTATGATGGATCTCCCTTTGCTCTACAAGACGGCGTCAGAATGGATACGTGCCCACTTACTATGTATGATGGATCTCCCTTTGCTCTACAAGACGGCGTCAGAATGGATACGTGCCCACTTACTATGTATGATGGATCTCCCTTTGCTCTACAAGACGGCGTCAGAATGGATACGTGCTCACTTACTTTGTATGATGGATCTCCCTTTGCTCTACAAGACGGCGTCAGAATGGATACGTGCCCACTTACTATGTATGATGGATCTCCCTTTGCTCTACAAGACGGCGTCAGAATGGATACGTGCTCACTTACTTTGTATGATGGATCTCCCTTTGCTCTACAAGACGGCGTCAGAATGGATACGGTGCCCATTTACTATGTATGATGGATCTCCCTTTGCTCTACAAGACGGCGTCAGAATGGATACGTGCTCACTTACTTTGTATGATGGATCTCCCTTTGCTCTACAAGACGGCGTCAGAATGGATACGGTGCCCATTTACTATGTATGATGGATCTCCCTTTGCTCTACAAGACGGCGTCAGAATGGATACGTGCCCACTTACTATGTATGATGGATCTCCCTTTGCTCTACAAGACGGCGTCAGAATGGATACGGTGCCCACTTACTATGTATGATGGATCTCCCTTTGCTCTACAAGACGGCGTCAGAATGGATACGTGCCCACTTACTATGTATGATGGATCTCCCTTTGCTCTACAGGACGGCGTCAGAATGGATACGTGCTCACTTACTTTGTATGATGGATCTCCCTTTGCTCTACAAGACGGCGTCAGAATGGATACGTGCCCACTTACTATGTATGATGGATCTCCCTTTGCTCTACAAGACGGCGTCAGAATGGATACGGTGCCCACTTTACTATGTATGATGGATCTCCCTTTGCTCTACAAGACGGCGTCAGAATGGATACGGTGCCCACTTACTATGTATGATGGATCTCCCTTTGCTCTACAAGACGGCGTCAGAATGGATACGGTGCCCACTTACTATGTATGATGGATCTCCCTTTGCTCTACAAGACGGCGTCAGAATGGATACGGTGCCCACTTACTATGTATGATGGATCTCCCTTTGCTCTACAAGACGGCGTCAGAATGGATACGTGCCCACTTACTATGTATGATGGATCTCCCTTTGCTCTACAAGACGGCGTCAGAATGGATACGTGCCCACTTACTATGTATGATGGATCTCCCTTTGCTCTACAAGACGGCGTCAGAATGGATACGTGCTCACTTACTATGTATGATGGATCTCCCTTTGCTCTACAAGACGGCGTCAGAAAGGATGCGTGCCTACTTACTATGTATGATGGATCTCCCTTTGCTCTACAGGACGGCGTCAGAATGGATCTCCCTTACTATGTATGATGGATCTCCCTTTGCTCTACAAGACGGCGTCAGAATGGATACGTGCTCACTTACTATGTATGATGGATCTCCCTTTGCTCTACAGGACGGCGTCAGAAAGGATGCGATCCCTACTTACTATGTATGATGGATCTCCCTTTACTCTACAGGACGGCGTCAGAATGGATACGGTGCCCATTTACTATGTATGATGGATCTCCCTTTGCTCTACAGGACGGCGTCAGAAAGGATGCGATCCCTACTTACTATGTATGATGGATCTCCCTTTGCTCTACAGGACGGCGTCAGAATGGATACATGCCCACTTACTATGTATGATGGATCTCCCTTTACTCTACAGGACGGCGTCAGAATGGATACGGTGCCCATTTACTATGTATGATGGATCTCCCTTTGCTCTACAGGACGGCGTCAGAAAGGATGCGATCCCTACTTACTATGTATGATGGATCTCCCTTTGCTCTACAGGACGGCGTCAGAATGGATACATGCCCACTTACTATGTATGATGGATCTCCCTTTGCTCTACAAGACGGCGTCAGAAAGGATGCGATCCCTACTTACTATGTATGATGGATCTCCCTTTGCTCTACAGGACGGCGTCAGAATGGATACATGCCCACTTACTATGTATGATGGATCTCCCTTTGCTCTACAAGACGGCGTCAGAATGGATACGGTGCCCACTTACTATGTATGATGGATCTCCCTTTGCCCTACAGGACGGCGTCAGAAAGGATGCGATCCCTACTTACTATGTATGATGGATCTCCCTTTGCTCTACAGGACGGCGTCAGAATGGATGCATGCCCACTTACTATGTATGATGGATCTCCCTTTGCTCTACTATGTATGATGGATCTCCCATTTACTCTGTAAGACGGCGTTTGCACAGAATGAATACGGTGCCCATTTACTATGTATGATGGATCTCCCTTTGCTCTACAGGACGGCGTCAGAATGGATACATGCCCACTTACTATGTATGATGGATCTCCCTTTGCTCTACAAGACGGCGTCAGAATGGATACGGTGCCCATTTACTATGTATGATGGATCTCCCTTTGCTCTACAGGACGGCGTCAGAATGGATACATGCCCACTTACTATGTATGATGGATCTCCCTTTGCTCTACAAGACGGCGTCAGAATGGATACGGTGCCCACTTACTATGTATGATGGATCTCCCTTTGCCCTACAGGACGGCGTCAGAAAGGATGCGATCCCTACTTACTATGTATGATGGATCTCCCTTTGCTCTACAGGACGGCGTCAGAATGGATACATGCCCACTTACTATGTATGATGGATCTCCCTTTGCTCTACAAGACGGCGTCAGAAAGGATGCGATCCCTACTTACTATGTATGATGGATCTCCCTTTGCTCTACAGGACGGCGTCAGAATGGATACATGCCCACTTACTATGTATGATGGATCTCCCTTTGCTCTACAAGACGGCGTCAGAATGGATACGGTGCCCACTTACTATGTATGATGGATCTCCCTTTGCTCTACAGGACGGCGTCAGAAAGGATGCGATCCCTACTTACTATGTATGATGGATCTCCCTTTGCTCTACAAGACGGCGTCAGAATGGATACGGTGCCCACTTACTATGTATGATGGATCTCCCTTTGCCCTACAGGACGGCGTCAGAAAGGATGCGATCCCTACTTACTATGTATGATGGATCTCCCTTTGCTCTACAGGACGGCGTCAGAATGGATGCCCACTTACTATGTATGATGGATCTCCTCTACACTTACTATGTATGATGGATCTCCCTTTGCTCTACAAGACGGCGTCAGAATGGATACATGCCCACTTACTATGTATGATGGATCTCCCTTTGCTCTACAAGACGGCGGCGTCAGAATGGATACGATGCCCACTTACTATGTATGATGGATCTCCTTTGCTCTACAGGACGGCGTCAGAATGGATACGGATCTCCTTGCCCACTTACTATGTATGATGGATCTCCGTTTGCTCTACAAGACGGCGTCAGAATGGATACGGTGCCCACTTACTATGTATGATGGATCTCCCTTTGCCCTACAGGACGGCGTCAGAAAGGATGCGATCCCTACTTACTATGTATGATGGATCTCCCTTTGCTCTACAGGACGGCGTCAGAATGGATACATGCCCACTTACTATGTATGATGGATATCCCTTTGCTCTACAGGACGGCGTCAGAATGGATACATGCCCACTTACTATGTATGATGGATCTCCCTTTGCTCTACAGGATGGCGTCAGAATGGATACGGTGCCTGTCTATACTCGAGACGAATGTGTGGGTACATATTGGGACCCACTTGTCCTGTATGATACATATTCACACACCAACACAACTTACCATGTATGAAGGTCCTGGTTGTACTCGATTCATTGCAACCGTTTACCCTGTTGTAAAAGATTTATCTGCATGAATGTATTTGAGTGATCTGTATTAGCAACGTACCCTGTGCGAAGGACCTTGTTGTACTCTGTATGATGGTGTCTGATGTACGGTTGACAAGAGCTATCTGGATGGACACTGGCTGTGTTGCATTCAGAATCTGTACTCGGATAGGAACTGTCCATCCCGGGGCGATCTTTTTGGCAAAGGTGATGATGTATGTTCCAGGAGAGCTGTAGATTAAAAAGTAAAACTGTTGAGGTCTAATTTTTGTCTCTTAGAAATGGGAAAACGGAATGTTAGCAATGTAGTCCCGCTTCGTGTGTGGCCTTGTTGAGACATGGTATTTGTGTATATTGTCCAATGTGACAGCCGCACAAGCCTCACCAGTTACCATAGCAACCGAGTCTAAATGTCCATGTAACATGTGCTTATTTTGACCTTGTATTCAGATGTTCACGGACTTAGATTTACAGTACACAGAGAAGACACTAACACAAGTGCTTTCGACATCAACCATTTGTGTCATAATTCTAACTGAGGATCTAAGGTTCGAACTTTGCTCTCGTGAGTGACCTTTCCTCAACTGAGATTTTATTCTCTTTTCATCGTGACTTGAATAGAAATTATGAGCTGTGGGCACAAGACGTACCTTTATGCCCTGTCACTGACACTGTCAAGCAACTACACGTATTAGATAATCGCAGGACATACACGGGTCTTGTGTCAGCAGTCAACATTGCATTTCAGCTGTATTTTGCGCGTATTGCCGAAGTAGCAGCTGGGAGCGGTCACATCCGATGGCTTACTGCACTTGACTGGCTCGAGAGAACTACAGAAAATACAGAACTACTTTACCGGATTGAAATTAGTGTCCGTTAATAGCACAGAGCTCTCGATAAACGTGCAAAATATGAATCGATACAATGCATAAAATATACTAGTTACGTATGATATCTGTACGGTTTTGGCTATGAAAGTACTTGACAACCACTTTTTACGTTGTAACAGTGCGAGACAAAAAGGTTAATTTTAGTGAAAACTTGCCCAGATGTGTTCGATAGCATTGGTACCTCGTATGAAGATCTGCCTTCAGTTATTAGCAATCCATAACCTGTTTTTATATTGTATTGTCATCTATAGCTGAAATATTTATATTTAATTGCTATTTTAAATTTTATATCTGTGATAATCTAGTTGTTTTACTGTAATTATAAATCTATAACTTGATTTGGTCACGATATGGCTGAAATATTGCCGATATGACTTAAAATCCTAACTCACTCACTCGATAGGATTGAGGTCGGGGCTACGCGACGGCCATTCCAGAACTTGAATACCGGCATTTCGTTGAAGATTCTGTGTAAGAAATGCCGTATGCGGTCCAGCGTTGTCTTGTTAAAACGTCAGCCCAGGGCCATGTCTCCGCATAAATGGAAGCAGGACAGGTTGCAAAATCTGTGCTATGTACTGGGCAGCATTTAAGTTCCCTCGAAAGACGACAAGGCGAGAACATCCGTGTGTGCAAAACGAACCCCATACCTGTCGCCACCCAATCTGTCCACTTCACGGACGCAGACTTGAGCGTCGTTCACCTCGCCTGCGGTACACTCGGGCCCTGCCGTCGGCAAATCTAAATGTGAATCGAGATTCGTCGCTGAAGACAACTGAATCCCACTGTCTTTGATAGAAGCTTATGACATTGTGTCTTGTGGCCCACACCAGGCGGCTGCCGCGATGAAGAGGCGTTACAAGTGGTTCATTATGTCGAGAAGTCCAGCGGCACGCGAGCGATTTCTGACAGTTTGTGCAGTTATCCTTCCACCAAACATCTCCCTACTTGTGGAAGGTGCAGTAACAAATCTGTTCCGAAGATGACGTAATCGTATTTCTTGATCTTCCCAGAGTGACGTCACACGTGACGCTGTCGGCCTCGGGCGGTAGGAAACAGTTCCGGTTTGATGCACTCTCATCCTAAGATTAAAAATTGTTTGTCGTGAACAATTAAAGGCTCTTGCAACAGCGACCACAAACAGACCAGCATCAAACCTCCCCATAGCACGTTGACGTTCTTGATTTGAAAGGCGTGGCATTTCAAAAAAATAAATAAGAAGATTAAAATTAAAGGTTTGATTTGTTTTTCAAGCTCACATTCAATGTGCGTGTTCAGTTTCAGCAAACATGCACCGAATGACATCATGAATTTGCTTTTCACACGTGCATTTCGTGTTTTTCATCTTTATCATCAAGGTTTACACGTGAACTTACAATTTCACGAAATGCTGAGTATAGTACGATTTTTTATAAACTTCTATTGGTGGACGCCATTGTTCCTTTACGTTCTACTGATGTCTACTGTAGTTAATCGTTTTTTGTATATTTTTGTGAGTATAACAAGAGTCACAAGAAGTATCCCTTAAATCTGGTGTCGTTTGGAAATTGAGTTTGACTACTTACACACCATTTCCGACTCCGTGCCTTCAGATAAATGAAACATATTGTTGTTTACGATCTGTAAAACCCCCAAACCATCAAAAAGCAATAGCTCAACATTGGACTGATCTCTGTAGCAGGATTCTAAATACTTTTTTGAGGTCTGCTCCGATGACGACCAGAATTTCAGAACGAACGAATAAATGTCACCTGTAGAATGTCAAGCTAGTTTGAATCAGGTATATAAAACGGCTTATGTGTTCGGGACGGAGGATAGACTGATGGACGGAGGGACATGCTGATCGCCACATTGATTTTTTTTCAAAACGGGGGTAGGGGGTATAGACAATAAAATGAAATAGAAGTGTCGTTTTAACTTCTCTTAACTCAAATATTCACATGTATGATTAGTACGGAATGCCAACCTAGCGTATATCCGTACATACATGAATTCGGGCGTGTCCGAGGACAGCGAGACCTGTCATTTAGGTAAGAGAGCCGGTCTTGCCGCAGGATATGCATACACATTAATTTTATATTCAGCTTTCAAAGAACTTTATTTTATACCACTGGTAATAAGACGGCGCTTTCACACGTGCCAGCGAAGTGGACAAGAACTGCATCGGAGCCAACGTAAACAAAGATATCGACGGTCAACTGAAAGCATAGAGAAGGCGATAGTCAATGAATAACATCCACGTACGTAAGTGTAGTGAGCTAGTACCACCTCAAGTCTTGCAGAAAGAGGGTTTATACGCCAGACAGCGTCCGGTACATTAGTTTTGCCGGGCGCTTTTGTTCTAGATATAACATAACTGATGCGCGATAATCCCTTAAAGAATGGGGGATTAACTTATAGTCTGTTTCGGATCGGGATCGGTACAGACTGGATTGAGTAGTCACACCTCACTTTGCCGGACATCTAATGTGATGATAATGTTATAACATCACCGACGGTGTTGGCGGTTGCAGGACAACCTGTCTTACAACATTTCCAATGAACTCGTCCCTTTTTGTGCTCTTAACCCTAAACTTGTGACCTAGATAGATTAAGTGTCTGCCTCCCCTTGAATTTGGAATGAACTGAATGTTAACCTGTGTGTTTGCTATTTTGCAATAAGACAACATTCTTTTTATATAGGTACAATGATAGAAAAAATCATTTGAATACGTTTCACTCAATGTTGCTAATATAATTTGAGTTCACTCAAATTAGTTATTAGAAATCGAGTTCACTCAATTGTGTTCACTAATTAATGAGTTCGAACTCATTCTGCCAAAGGCTCATGGCTGACTACTCACTGAATTGACAAGCTAGTGACTTTTGTAGAATACATATGGTAATTCCTCTCGCTTGGGTCAACTCAATACAGATTGGTTGAATTTCTGGATAATCGTCTATCGACTACTCACTCATACTTGAAAATATACTTGACCTTTGCGACGCGGTCTGTCTGTCACTATCTTCAATCTTCAGAAACACCCTTACTATTACTATTTTCTTTATTAAGTTTGTTTATCATCACCTCTCTCAGAGTGGAATCTGTACTTTACTGAGAAAGTGTAATCCCAAATAACCACTTTCTAAATGGCATTGTGTATTCACAGCTTTTGGTCGCGGGAACCGTGCCAATTTACACTTGTCAGAGGGGTACACAAAGTCCGTGATCTACTCTACCAGCTGTATTTGTCACACTTCTATTTTTGTGAAAGCCGTTGTGGCTGAGCGGGGTCTTCCTACCTGTCCAGCTATTGTTTCAGGTGTAAAATCACCCATGCGTGCTGATTGGTTAGACAATAGGGGATGAAGGGAGCATCTCTAACATTTAGAGAGAATTTTAGTCAATGAATTTATAGGAGTGAACACTTTTCACTTAGTGCTGGATTGCTGGATCAATTGGTGAACTTTATCTAAACTAAAATGATGACATTGATGAAATTGAAAAACGGGAAATTGATTATGTGATTACTTGGTGAACTTTATTTGAAATTGGTGAACTAATGTCACTCATCAGTATAATATGTATATATATTTGGTATATATAGGGAATCTTTCGTTTTAAAGTATTCAAAATATCTATGGCTAATGGTCAAGTAGGTGAACAGTTTGTTCTGAATTCGAAAGGTGGACAGCAATTAGTATTTGTCTTTTCATGATAAAGACAAGACGTCAGAGATAGGTACACTGGAAATGCTCTCAAAGAGGATGACAACTGTGAGATTTCCATCATGCAACTGCAGTCAGGTAGCCTTATGCCACCAAAGAAGAAACGCTACCAGGACCTGAACCATGCCTTTGATAGACGGAAGAGACAACTCCTTGCTCATGAAAAATCTAAGTTTGAGTACCATGAAGCTGTTTCCCATCTTGTCGGGTTAAGAAATGTATTGATAAATGTATGTAATTTTGTAATTATATATAGATATGTAATATGTGTATTATATGTAACATATGCTATTTGTCATACATGTCATCAAAATATATGACATGTGATGCAATGATAATACTTATCAGATCAAAATATCTGTAAAATGTTGGACATGTGTTTGTTGTTTGTTCTCAACCACCTTAATGAGGTGGGGGCTGCTGAGGGAGCATCACTGGTAAATATGTTTGAGACAAACATGGTGGGGATTAACGGTTTGCCAGCTGCTGGACAAGTAGGAAGTCATCGGCTCAGTGGGTTAGATCACTGACTTAACGCCGGGCGTGTACGAGTAACGCTCCTATTATTTATCAGAAAGTGTTGAATAGCAGCCATGCGATCGTCTCTTCATAAGATTGTGTGTGCGCGCGCGTGTGTGTATATGTATCTGTTGTAGAGTTGCCAGAAGGACTGGGCTTCGTGAGAGGGCGGCTTGCAGCCGAATTCCACATGAGTTCGAAAGGATTGAGGTCTAGTGATCTATCTCCTTGTCTACGCCACGTCTACTTGCATGACGATCTTGAGTCATCAGTGAAAGTTCTGTACCGTTTATTATTTAACCTCATCTCCAGCCCAACCCGTCTGGCTGTGATGTCGGGGCAGTGGAATGCATGCCTTCCCCTCACCCGAGATCAGCCTCATGGAGACGATTACGCAGTGTCTAAGTTGAAACTTTGTTCTTGTTATGGCAGTTACGAAGTGATGACGTCCTCACAAATAGATCTCTGATGTATATACACTTGCAAATTATAAGGGCGGGTTAATAAGAACTAACTTCTTTCTCGGAAATATACGATTCGATGCTAGGAACATTAACATTATTGAAATAATAATCACAAGTATTCAGACGCACCAGGTGCGTCCAATAGAGTCCACAATCAGCACCACCACCAATGCAGTTTTTAACGTTTGCTTGCATCTAGGGCACATCGCAAGTCTAACCCTTTAGCCGCCGAGTTTGTGTCAAATGAGCTATTACAGGTATGGCTAAATACATCATTATGCACGTTCTTACGTTTGCTGAATAGTGTTCCAGTTAACGCCGGGCGTGTACGAGTAACGCTCCTATTATTTATCAGAAAGTGTTGAATAGCAGCCATGCGATCGTCTCTTCATAAGATTGTCTATGGCATATGTACACACTGGGAAATGTCAATATACATTTGTGAAACCTTACCTTTCATTCCCGACAGCGCCGACAGTGACAGCCAGCAATAAGGTCAACCATAACGTCATCGTTACTGAGCCTCCACCATTCACAAATAGTCAGGCGCTGTAAAACCGAATTAAATACTGAAATACGAACTGGATATGGTTGAATGGTATCTTATCATATAAATATTTACGGACATGACTAACACTATGAAAACGTATTTCATAATGAATATACATGTATATACAACAGGGAAGACAGCTCTAGTTAGTTCGGTTTCACGCCGATTCATGCAGTACTCCAGCAATATCACGGCGTGGGACGCCAGAAAAAGGCTCAAATTTGTGCTAATGTCGTGATATAACCGATAAACGAACGAACGTCTTTAACTAGTAAACTACCCGACTGCCCACAACAAACGTACTTGAAATATGAAAGATACATTTGCGCTGCGTATACCCTCATCTTCGAGCAAAATGACAACGCGTCTATTTTATGTCATGGTGGGGCTGAGAAACAGGTTCTATATCGAATTGTTACATCTCTGAAGCTGAAGTATCAGAGCTGCTTTGCAGGTATGTGATAACTTTGGTTATGTCAGGAAGTCGGTTACACATGCTATCTGGATGTTAGATGCATAGCGGTCTGTCGATATAATCTCGATGTTTCGTGATTCTATATTAAGTGAGGAGGATTAGACCAACATTGAAGAACCAATTCAACATGCCTTTAGGTCGTATGCGCTAATGTTCAGGACAACGAACAGTCTTTCAAACGTACAAAACAGAAAGCAATGTAAACCTATCCATATATTGTGTTTGCGATGTGTGTAATTAAGTTCGGTCAGAATTCAGATTTCGTTAGAAAAATAGAATGGAGTGTATCGTGTTGCGATCTTTGATATACATGTACATAAATGCACGTAATGGTTTGTCTTTCCTTTATAATGTATGGGAGATGAACATGGCACATCTTCACCTCCACATATATGCGGGCATCTACGAAAAAAGAATATAAAATACTATACTAGAAAGCCATACAAACGTATGCAGAGAAGAACAGGGGTTACAGCTATACATTGTGTGGTATAAAATCTGATGTTCGTGGACTTGTTTTCATTGTACATTCCCCGCCGTGAGCTGGAGTGGTTATGTGACTGTACTATGAATGCGGACATTTGGGAGTTGGCATGAATCATGTTGACAAGTAACCCAACTTTGACTGCCTCGGGTGAGACAGACGTGTCAATGTTGTTTAGAGTACTTGGGATAGGCGTAACGTTAACATTCTCTTAACGGTTTTGTATTCTGGAATGTATGGATTTCCTTATTTCTTGTGTCTGGATAGGATATACTTGTAAGATTATGCCGAGTACATGAGTTTTAATTTTAATATTTGCATTTTGTTTTATTCATTTGTCGTAAGTCACATTTTGTACACTATAAGTAATGGCATACAATCTGAGATTCACCTTAATTCTGTCCTGGACCAAGAGGAAAGAAATAAAAGCGTGGTACCTGATATGTTATTAAAACGTCTACACATTTACACACGTAAGATTATGCCGAGTACATGATTACGTGTTAAGCAAGTCACACCACCGAGAATTTCATCTTACGTTTGTATTAATCTTTGTTGACAGGCGGACAGAGTAAACAACTGAGATTCACCTACCTGGTGTTTGTTCACAGGAGACGGCAGATTCTGTCCTGGCTAAGTAAAAGCGTCGTCAACAGGTAACAGCAAACAGGCAATCACTTTTATTTAGTCCATCACGTGACACGAGCCCAGCTGCCGAGTCGTACACGTCACGGCTTGGCGAGCAGGTCCGCCTGTAGCAGGCGAATTGTAATGTTATGAAAGAAACATGATTTGTCACCGTGCAGAGATATTAAAGAAGAACGGCTTAAGACACACTCTGTAGTCTTTGCCGCTTAGAATAGAAGTACGAATATAAGATATTGCCAATATCACTGCGCTGAACAAGAGAAAACAAGATATAAGGAATACTACACACAGTTTGACAGAAGAAGACGCTAATACGTTTGTGTGCAAATTGTGAAGGAGTGTACCGGCAAGGAAGGACGTGCGTACCCTTTTCAGGTCATGTCAGCACTGATTTTCGGTGAACCATTCATATAATTGTCTCCGCTGTTTTGCCCAAAGGAGTCTGTTTGGGTGGGTACCTGAGATGGCGTTGGCATTTCATATTTTCATGAAATATGCATTTTGCTGAAGCGATAAACATCGTGTTAAGATTTGATCACTTAGTGAAAATCCGGGTGAAGGTCGGCAGGTGAATGCGGGCGGCACAAGGGAGTATAGTTAGCAGTACGTGCTTCTCGAAATACGTCAATGTTTAACTCTACATAAGCACTTTGTTTCTTTCACTTTGTGTTTGTAATGTACGTACCGCACCACTGAGCCGATCCAGCGCCTTGAGCATGCACTACTTGCGTGGATATGTGCGCTATATAAATATCCTATAATAATAAATAATAATAATCCTCGCCCCGATTGTAGCCACGTGAAAACCTTGGATCTTTCTTTCTTCGTTAACTGATTTCGTGGTTTCAAGTTGTGAGAATTACAGTTATTGATAATGATGATATTGATAATGATAATGAATTTATATAGCGCATGTTTCCAAAACGTATTTGCTCAACGGCGCTGAAGAAGAAAGTCTGAAAGGCTATGAAAGGGATATTGAGTTTTTAGATTTTAGTAAAGAGTCTTTACATTTGATTTATAGGATATTTATATATCCACACAACTAGTACATGATCAAGGCGCTTGAGTGCTCCCTTGATCAACGGATGTCTTTTTTCTGGCATTCTTTCATCCAGCTCAACTTCCTGGGGAGTATTCAACTCATGCAGTTATCAGCGAGTTATCACACAGCCTCATCCTCACAAGTTACCCATTTGCAGCTGGGTGAACTGGGACATTTAGTCACAGTATTTTGTCCAATGATCCTGCACGTTACTATACCCGCAACTAAGTGTCTGCATCCGGTTCATTCCCGGGAAGACGACAACTGTGATGTTTAAAACAACAAATCAGTGGAGCATGCAAGGATTTACAAGTCGACTGGAGCACACTAGAGGTTCTGTGTGATTTTAAGCACATATGGGTGATACTAAATTGTTAAGCGGTAAATATATGAAATACTCCCACGAACCATTATTGACACCCCTTACAATACAGGGGTCACATTTTTATCTGTGACCATTTTATCGATCACAAACAATTTACATACATTGAATGTCATTATTCTCATAGAAAGTTTATTTTTACAAGATAGCATTGAATGATGTCCACAATATTAAATACATTCAAAATACATAGATATACATTTTTCATAATATGAATGAATTAATTACATAGATGTAAATTATAAACAATAACACTACAAGTATTTATACACTATCCACAATCATTTCCAGTCTAGGCAGTCTATAAGTATGCTTAAGTCTGGTGCCTCGCTGTGTGACGTTGCTCGTCGTTTCAACGTCAACAGAAACACTAGTTAGTACTTATGACGACGTTTTCAGCACATAATAAACTTATAGCCAGTACGTCTGTGATGAAATGGACTGACATTAACGACGTTATGTTAATGTTCCAACAATTTCAAATCCTTCCTCGGATATGGAATAATCTCCCCCGGGAATGTTAGCGACATATAGTGTCCTGACACTGAGGTGACGGTGCCAGATTTGCATTGATGTAGAAGGTGGACACACTCGCCTCTGACCGTGTGAATTTGTCAACCACCTCTTGAGTTGTGGCATATTTGCATATACCAAATACACTGGTACTATACAGTGAATCAGTTGCCTATCAATATAATACCATTCGATTTGCGGCAGTAAACGTTTAACACTGTGTCTGTTTGTCCTATGTGTGTCACAATAACCTTTGTCCTTGAGTATATACAATAAAGTACTTCTTACGATATTACAATATTCGCAGCGTATAAAGCAACATATGCTGAACATCATTGAAAACGCACCACTTATAAAAGTCCAGATTATTAAAAGCATTCAGCCTCAAGTTCCCGGATGTTTCGCATCTGTTGTCGTCGCGAAAGACTTTGACCAGTTTCGTCCCACAAGTGCTCCATGGGGGATACATCTGGCGACTGTGCTGGCCAATGAATAACCTGGATGTGTTGCTGGGCCAGATACTGAGTGGAAAGTCTTGCTGTGTGCCCGTGCGTTGCCCTGATGAAAAGTATGGACATCTTGGTGGTGATTGAAGGCAGATACGATGTGATTCTGAAGAATCTGCTCACGGTAATAAAGGGCATTAACTCTCCCTTGACAGACATGAAGGCAGTCCTGTGATTGTAATTTAATCCACCCCAGACCATGACATTCCCACCACCCAAAGGTCTGTCTGAACCAAACACTCATCAGCATAACGTTCACCACGTCTACGCCAAACACGTAATCGGCCGTCAGCATTACGTAGATGAAGACGTGACTCGTCAGTGACTACCACACCATGCCATTGTTGTAACCTTTACTGAAAATGCCTGCTAGCCCATTGTATACGCTCATTACGGTGTCTGTCAGTCAGAACTGGTCCAACGTAAGGACGTCGAGCATGGAGCCCTGTAGCGTGTAGACGGCGTCGCATGGAGTCAGCGCTGATGACCCCCGCGTCAACATTGAACTAGTGCAGCAGTCCTGGCAGTCGGCAGTGTTCAATCACTGATAAGGACAAGGTCAATATGGCGATCATGATGGAGCGTCGTAACACGTTGTTGCCAAGGTCAGTGAAGATCACGGGTGCCGCCTGTCTACTGATGTCGTCTATGAAGCCTAACGATGGTGGAGTGGCCAAGTCCAAGTTGTCGAGCAATATCCCTGCTGCTGGTGCCAACCTGAATCATACCTAATGCACGTTATCTTTCGTGAGGTGTTAACCTCGGCATCTCTGTCCTCGTTTCACAATCGTTAGTGAAGCAATGAGAATCGGTTCTCGTACACCTGCTTTTAATGTCACAGTCAGTATGATTTCAGAATGAAATTCGCGCTTTTTTCATGGCGTGGCTGCATGTTGATCCATTTTGGAATTAAGGGTCATACTGTGGGCAGGAATTTGTTTCTAAAGCATTTTTTCAACTGGACATGCCCTTCGACTTCATGTTAGTTATATTCATTGACCATTGTCATGCTGAAATCCATTTGATGAAAATATGGACAATTTTAGACTGGTGCGTTTTCAATGATGTTCAGTATATAAAGGAAAGAAAACTCAAGAAAAGAAATCTTCTGCTGAACAATTAGATGAATCCCCAAAACAAACAGTGAAAGAGGAAATTCTAGCAGACGTTAGGGCAGTCAAAACACAATTGGAAGAAATCATGAAGACTAAAACAAAGGGGTTTATGCCTTCTGTGTCATTTCCCTCTGTGCCACTCGACAAATTAATTGATCTGGGTCAAGATTCCCTGTGTGGCACGCGAGTGTTTCTTATGTCCATGTGTGACACATGTGTGTAGCAAGCCGTAACTGATTGAGGGCTAGATCATTAGCACCTTTGATGAAGATCGCCGCATTCTTGCCAGCATGCTCTGCGTCAATGTGTCTCTTGGATCCCCGACTGACAAAGCGTCCCTCTGATGTAGTGGTTACCGACGCACGGCAGCCAGGTTGTCTGCATCATCCACAGGACAGTTCTGTTCTTGTTTATGGTCTTCTTGTTGTACTTAAATCCCTACATCAATATATCCTGTCCTCCCTGTCTGCTGTCCACAATCTCTCCTCTATCTTCCATGATGTATGTTTGATCGGTGACATGATAACTGATATTATATACATCCCTATTTTCATCTCCAGATGAACAGTTAACTAGTCAACTAGTTCCTTCTCAGTATGGATGGAAGGACAGCAACTGTGAACAGTAGCTCCCTGTCCCTGTCTAGCACATGCCTTCCACACAATGTCCCTGTGTGGCACTAATCAGTGATGTGTGACAGACGCAAGTGTCACAGAGGGAAACCACCAACAATAGGGTTAATGGTACAGGAAAAGCGCAATGGATGGAACTAGTGAAAAACAAACAAACAGCGAAATATTTTTTTAGTTTGGAATCAAGAAACTATCTAAACAAATCCGCAAACAGAATGGAACATGAAGTATAACATACGACCAACGCTGACCTATGGTAAACTGTAAAATCCATAGCACATACACATCATATTAGTAACGAGTAATAATCTGTCTGTCGGTATAGCAAGCGGTATTTGATATCGTTGAAAAGCTTGGAAACCAGTGTAGCAAGTCTTGAAAATGTCAGACAACATGCCATTTTGGGCGTTTCCATGGTAACCAAGCTATTTTATTGCTTCACATGGTTCAGTGGACCAGTGCTTGGATCAACACATGTATTCTCAAAAATGATAAAATCACTATTCATAGTGAAGATATGCTCCTTTATTTATAGCAGTCATGTTCTCTGACAAATATAATGGTTACTATGAGAACGCCCCAAAATGACATGCCGTCTGATACTTTCAAGTCTTGCAAAATTGGGTTTGGAAATCAAGAGATTCCAAGCTTCCAAAGATACCAAATACATCTTGCTATACTCCGGCAGACCTGTTTAAATATTTTACACCTAAAAACACTGCTCAATAAGTACAACTGAAATAGAAAAACAAATACAGGTACTCCTAAAATGACAGTGACAAATTCATCTTTGATACTTGTTCACATTATATACATACTGAATTAAAAAATAACACTGCCTTGCATTTGTTCAACAAACTGTAAACGACTATGATTAGAGACATCTGCCTCATAGTTTTCAAAT